AATGTTTTTAGCTGATTAAAAATACACACAGGGCCTCCCCTAGTGGCGCAGCGGTTGAGCGCTGGGTTGCCAGGCAGTTCGATCCCCAGCCACCGGCGAAGGTACCACCAAAAAAACCCCACAAAAACCTATGCTTACAAAAAAAATAAAAAGTCACATATCATGTCAAATGATCCATGCCAGGGTGATGTTTTAATAGTCCTATTTCCTATGAACTAACAATTTTCTTAAAAAAAAAAAAAAAAAAAAAAGATTTATGCATAAAAGAACCGGGGTACAGGCCAGAGGTGCGGAGGGTGAGAGGATTCACCAGAGACAGAGTGGGGAACAGAACAGGCTGATTGACAGAAACACACTGCTGAGGGGAGCAGTGGGCGAGAAAGGAGCGGTCTATGGCATGTGGGTAGCTCTCTGGCCAGGGATGGAACTCCTGCTGCAGAGGCTGTAGATATCTTCACAGGGCTGTGCTTAACCCCTTGAGCCACTAGGGAGGCCCCTGAACTAACACTTTTCTAATGGTGCTCAGGCTATTCTACAGCTTAACCCCCTTCCTCTTTTCAGTGTTTTCCCTTTACTATACTAAAGTTCTACTACCCCTTTAACTCTTTCCTCCAAGGAATTATTTGAAGTCAAAAGTTGACTTAGGTTTCATTGATACTTGAAACTGCTTAATTTTGTTTGCCTCACAAGAAATCGGGTGACACTGTGATCAGCAATGAAAAGATCAGTGGAGCAGTCAAGAAAGGAACATAAAGTAACAAGCAAGAAAGGAAAATGACAAAAACAGGTGACAATTAAAGTTGGGTCTCTTGATACTAATTTTTTAAATTAAGAATCAGAATCTCGGCCTCCCCGGTGGTGCAGCAGTTGAGCGCTGGGTTGCGAAGCTGCCCGCAGCCTCTGCAGTGCCGGTTCGATCCCCAGCTGCTCCCCGGCCACCGGAGGAGGGTCCCGCATGGCGCGCAGACCTCTCATGCCACCCGCTGCTCCCCTCAGCAGTGTACTTTGGTCCTTCTGCCTGCTCTGCTCCCCGCTCTGGCTCTGGTGAATTCTCTCACCCTCCCGCGCTTCTGACTGTACCCAGTGCTTGTATAAGTAAATAAAATAAACAAATAAATCTTAAAAAAAAAAAAAAAAAATACCAGTTCCAGACAGAAGCAGTGACTGATGAAGGACATGTCTGTAATATGAAAATGAGACAGTCTCTTGGATAACTTGAGAAAAATCAGTTTCATATTAAATTCTCCGTATTTCTATTTTATTAAGTGTGAACCCTGGGGCCTCCCCGGTGGCCTAGGGGTTAAGTTTCAGCGCTACCACTGCTACAGCCTGAGTTCAATCCCCTGCCAGCGAGCGAACCCACATATGGCACAGTAGGCCTTTCCTGTCTCGTCCGCTGCTCTCCTTAGCAGTGTATTTCAGTAAATCTGACTGCTCTGCTCCCCACTCTGTCTCTGGTGAATCCTCTCACTGCCCCCCGCCTCTGGCCCACACCCTCATTGTTCTTTTTTTCATTTTGTTTTTCCTGATTTATTTTTATATTTTTACTTTTTACATCAGTTTTTTAAATTTTATTTTTATATTCCCCATACAATTACAACCCCCTTATTTTGACCCCAATCCCTCCTTTTACCGACCCCTCCCCCCAATAATGTGTCTCTGGCTCATAGTTGTTTGTTGATTTTGATTTTTTTCTTTCTTATAGCTTTTCTTTTTCCTGGCCCCTTATTTAGGTTTTCTAAATTCCTGCTATGAGTGAGACCATCCGGTATTTTTCTTTTTCTTTCTGACTTATTTCGCTGAGCATGATCCCTTCCAGCTCCATCCATGTTGCTGCAACTTGCATATGTTTATCTTTTTTGATTGCTGAGTAATAGTCCATGGTGTATATGGACCACATCTTCTTGATCCAGTCATCTATTTTTGGGCATTTGGGTTGTTTCCAAAGCTTAGCTATTGTAAATAGTGCTGCTATAAACATAGGGGTGTAGTTGCTCTTTGGAATTAATGTTTCTGTGTCCTTTGGGTAAATACCTAGGAGTGGAATTGCTGGATCATATGGAAGCTCTATCTTTAGCACCCTAGCTGTTCTTTAAAAAAATAAAATAAATAATAAACAGAACAGAGAACTTTAGATATAGAGAACAGACTAATGGTCACCAGAGGGGGAGTGGCAGAGCTTGGGGGATATGTGAAATAGGTAAAAGGGGTTAATGGTATGGTAGAGAAATGAAACTAGACTTTTGGTGGTGATCATGATCCACTACATACAGATGCCTAGTTGTAATGCTATATACCTGACACATATGTCAATGTTACTTTAATACAATTTAAAAAAAATCACAGGTGTCTCCCTGGTGCAGCAGTTAGTCTCAGCACTATCATGCTATTGCCAGTCACTGTGGCACTGGCCAGGAAGCTAACCCACATGGCGCAGCAGACCTATCTTGTCTCGCCCGCTGCTCCCCTCAGCTGTATATTCAGTAGATCTGCCTGTTCTGCTCCCCAATGTCTCTGATGAATCCTCTCACTGCCTCTCCCGCATCCCTGGCCTACTTCAGTTTTTATATGCATAAATAAATCTTTGGAAAAAAAAAATCACACTAGGATGTGAAAATACTAGGAAGCTTCCATTATCATACTGGTATAAGGAAGCAGATTTCTTTTTTTTAAAAGATTTAAAGATTTATAGATTTCTTTTTCTTTAAAGATTTCTTTATTTATGCATACAAGATCTGGGGTGTAGGCCAGAGGTGTGGGAGGGTGAGAGGAATCACCAGAGACAGAGTGGGGCACAGAACTGGCGGATATACTGAAATACACTGCTGAGGGAAGTAGCAGGCGAGACAGGAGTGGTCTGCTGTGCCATATGTGTTAGCTCCCTGCTGGGTACAGAACTGGTGCTGCAGTGGCTGGGGATACCTTCATAGTGCTAAGACTTAACCCCTTGTGCCACCAGGGAGGCCTCCACTGCTAGCAATTTTAACTTGGTTGTCATAGTACCTTAAATCCACTATCTCTAAACTTAGACTCATCTTTTCATAAAAACTGTCTCAAGTTCTTTTTGAATGTTATTGGGCTGAGGGGTATTTTAAATGCTCGATCATTACATGCTGCCCTTTACACCTGCTGCCTGTCTCTTTAGTATCACTGTTTTTATTTAGTCTTGATCGGCTAATGCTTTTAATAATTACATATCAAGGGCCTCCCCAGTGGCACAGTGGTTGAGCGCTGGGCTGCGAAGCTGCCCTCAGCCTCTGCAAAGCTGGTTCAATCCCCGGCCACCAGCAAGGGTCCCACATGGCGCACAGACCTCTCCTGCCACCCACTGCTCCCCTCCACAGTGTATTTCGTCAGTCTGCCTGTTCTGCTCTCCACTCTGGCTCTGGTGAATTCTCTCACCCTCCTGCGCTTCTGACTGTACCCAGTGCTTGTATAAATAAAATAAATGTTTAAAAAAAAATAATTACATATCAACTATCCTCAGGTTTGCCTCTGTCATTCAACAGCTATGAGAATGTTTCTGAAAATTTGGCTCATGTTACTCTTCAGTTGAAAACATCTGATTACCACTCTTCACAGAATCAAGTCTAACCTAAACTTCTAAACTGTAGTCAACACCTTCTGAAATGTGGTCTTGTTTAATCTTTTTAAGGTTTACCTCCTATAACTTTCCCAAAGCAAACCTGTAAGCCAAGTAAATAGGTTTATTGTCTATTACCTCCTGCCCCATCTCTTCTGTTCATATCGTTCCCTGCAGTTGTTTTTTAATTTCTTTTCTGATCAAATTTAGCATTCATCAGGAGTCTTGCTCAATCTCTTTTCATCATAAAATATTCCATGATTACTCTAAGGTAAAGTAATCCCTATTAAGCATGTTAAGGAACAATCTTAGTAGTTATGCTATTTCAATTATACCAACTGTTTTATAGTATATCAGATATGCCTTAGGAAATCATCTCCATGAATTCAAAAACTTACTGAGTACTTACTAAGCACTTTGTGAGTGCCAAGCAATCACTTGGCAAAATAGCAGAGAACAAGTCAGCTATAGATTCTACTCTACTCTCTGAAAGATTTTAAGAGTATGGGTTCTAAAGTCAGGTTTGATTCCTGTATCTACTTCCTTAAATGTGATATAATCATAGGCAATTACTTAATTGCTATGTCTACTTATAAATCCATTGAAGAATAGAAGCATAAGTAAAGGAGGAACCTGAAGGAGTTCAGGGAAGGATTTTTCCTAGTAGAGGCTATACTCGGCACATTTGCATATACCAATGAGAACAACAGATAAGCAGCACAGAAAACAGAAGTCACATTCATGAGAAGATGGTAGTAAACTGCAACCAGATCATACTGGCAGAATGAGCCTCTGAGAAAAGAGTACTGCCATTGTAACCTGAGATAAGATGGGTACAAATGCAGGTGGATTTAAAGATTTGCTGGGAAGAGCAGCTTAGGTCACTGGCTGGGAGGGTGGAAGAGGAAAAAGGCTTGAGAAGAAAAGGACAACATATGAAAGAGTTGTCTTACCAACTGTCTTACCAAAGGATGCCTAACTGGAGAAATTCAGACCTCCCATGTAGTATTGAATGTTAACCTAAGTGTATCATTTTGAATTTAAAGTGAAGGTAGTCACTTTTATGGTATTTTTCTTCAGGATGATGAGTTATTTGGCAATACTCACTGAAAAGACAGATGAAATTCACTTACGATTGGCAACTATTCAGTGGGGGATATGATCCTGAGGCTGTTTGTAAAGAAATGATTTTAATAACAACCATAAAATCTAGACTAGTGAAGAAGGCAAGCCAAAGCATAGTAATGGAAGTTTCTATGATTTGGAAGAATTCTGCAGTAGGAATCTATATTCTAATGAGTTCTACAACCAAGGACAGAAAAAGTGCCTTTTATGCTCATCCCAATTGAAGCTTGCAAACAGTGGGAATCAACAGAGTCTTGCAGATTTGACTAGAGCTATATCCCCTACAGCTTACCTGGCATGTTACAGCCAATGTATGACAGATCTGAGTCTTCCCAGTTCGGAATTCTCCAAACATTTCAGTGATAGATCCAGTCTCAATTCCTCCTATAAGAACAGTAAGAAACATCTCTTAGCACAATACAAATGCTTAGAAACAACCATCACAGAAATGGAACTCGCATTCTTTACCCAAATCTCCCAATGCTGCCATTTTACATAACTACAGTACATCACCAATGTCAGAAAAATGGTGTTAATATGACTCAGAGCTTCTCCAGGTTTCTCTAGTTATACACGCATTCATTATGTTATGTGTGTAGTTCTATGGAAATCTGATGGCATGTGTTGCTTCCTGTAACTGCTTAGATCAACCATCACAAACCAAAGCAGTCATTTTTTTTTTAAAGATTTATTTACACAAACAAGAACTGGGCATAAGCCAGAGGTGCAGGGGGTGGGGGTTGGGATGTGGAGTGTGAGAGGATTCACAGGAGAGAGGGGGAAGAACAGGCAGATCTACTGAAATACACTGCTGAGGGGAGCAGTGGGTGAGGAGCGGTCTGCTGTGTCATGTGGGTAAGCTCCCTGGCAGGCCGGGGATCCAACTCGTGCTACAGTGGCTGGCAATAGCTTGCTAGCGCTGTCTTTAATCCCTGTGCCACCAGGGAGGCCCCAAAACAGTTATTTAAAATGATTATAGGTGGGGTCCCAGCCTGAGCGCTGGGTTACGAAGCTGCCCGCAGCCTCTACAGCACCAGTTTGATCCCCGGCCGCTGGCGAGGGTCCCACGTGGCTGGACAGACCTCTCCTGCCGCGCCCGCTGCTCCCCTCAGTAGTCTATTTTCGTCACTCTGCCTGTTCTGTTCCCTGCTCTGACTCCGGTGAATTCTCTCACCCTCCGGCGCTTCTGACTGTACCTAGTGCTTGTATAAATAAATAAAAATAAATCTTTAAAAAAAAAAAAAATGATTATAGGTGGGGCCTCCCTGGTGGCACAAAGGGTTAAGACACAACCTATGAAGCTGTCCACAGCCTCTGTAGCACAAGTTCGATGCCCGGCCGGCCAGGAAGCAACCCACATGGTGCAGCAGACCTCTCCTGACTCTCCCACTGCTCCCCTCAGCAGTGTATTTCAGTCAGTCTGCCTTTTCTCTTCCACTCTCTCTCTGATGAATCCTCTCCGCCCCTCACCTCTGGCCTGCACCCCAGTTCTTGTATGAATAAATAAATCTTTAAAAAAATGATTATAAATATAAATAATATCATCTAGCATTTAACCAGTAAATCTTTTTTTTTTTTTAAGTTTTTTTTTTTTCTTTTAATAGGGGCATATTTTATTTATTTATTTGTTTGTTTGTTTTTATACATGCACTGGGTACAGTCAGAAGCGCAGGAGGGTGAGAGAATTCACCAGAGCCAGAGCGGGGAGCAGAGCAGGCAGAAGGACCGAAGTACACTGCTGAGGGGAGCAACGGGCGGCAGGAGAGGTCTGCGCGCCATGTGGGACCCTCCTCCCGTGGCCGGGGAGCAGCTGGGGATCGAACCGGCGCTGCAGAAGCTGCGGGCAGCTTCGCAACCCAGCGCTCAACCTCTGCGCCACCGGGGAGGCCCTGGATGTCTCTTTTAACTAGAGTTCACATCACAGGAAAAGGCATTACTATACCTTGAAGTAGTTTGTCAAGCTCTTTGGAGCCAGTAGTTATCTGTATTATTTCTGATCTCCTTTGGTGGAATTCAGTTGCAGTGGTGAAACCCATTGGAACTAATTTAGCTGCTTCAGTCTAGAAAAAAAAAGAATGTCAGAAGAATAAAATATGCTTAGTAAAAACAAGAACAAGGAAAACAGAGGAAGATATCTAACGAAATCTCCAGAATGATTTCTCTTAACAACATAAATAAAATTCATTGTTCTAGGATTATTTTAGTATTTCTAGCAACTAACAAAAAAAACTAGAGACTTTTTAAACTGCCGATTCAGAATTATACTCAGGTGATTAAGAAATCATGATTATAGGGCCTCCCTGGTGGCGCAGTGGTTGAACGCTGGGTTGCGAAGCTGCCCGCGGCCTCTGCGACGCCGGTTCGATCCCCGGCTGCTCCCTGGCCACGGGAGGAGGGTCCCACATGGCGCGCAGACCTCTCCTGTCGCCCACTGCTCCCCTCAGCAGTGTACTTCGGTCAGTCTGCCTGTTCTGCTCCCCGCTCTGGCTCTGGTGAATCCTCTCACCCTCCCACGCTTCTGACTGTACCCAGTGCTTGTATAAACAAAACAAACAAATAAATCATAAATAAATAAAAATACATGCCTCTTAAAAAAAAAATCATGATTATAAACCCCCACATGTACTTTGCCTAAGTTATGACAAATGTGATAATACAGTACAAAGTCCAACAATATATTTAAATCTTTATTTCTTGTTTCATCAACCAAACTGTATCTTTCAACTTTCTTCTTTGATCTCTTTGATCTGTCCTTTGATCTCTTCCCTGCTATGTCTACTTCTCCATCTCTATCAGTTGGAGCTTTTATTTCACACTGTCAAGGTTAAGAACATTTATATTCTGGGGCCTCCCTGGTGGCACTAGGGGTTAAGGGTCAGATTTATGAAGCAATCTGGAGTCACTGTAGCACGAGTTTGATGCCGGGCCAGGGAGGTGAGCCACATGGTGCAGCAGACCTCTTCTGACTCGCCCGCTATATTCAGTAGATCTGCCTGTTCTCTCCCCACTCTGTCTCTGGTGAATCCTCTCACCCCCACCCCCTTGCACTTCTGGCCTGTACCCCAGTTCTTGTATGCATAAGTAAATCTTAAAAAAAAAAAAAGAACATTTTTTTTTTGGTGGCGCAGCGGTTGAGCGCTGGGTTGCAAAGCTGCCCGTGGCCTCCGGGCGCCAGTTCGATCCCCGGCTGCTCCCTGGCCACCAGAGGAGGGTCCCACATGGCGCGCAGACCTCTCCTGCCGCCCGCTGCTCCCCTCAGCAGTGTACTTCGGTCCTTCTGCCTGCTCTGCTCCCTGCTCTGGTGAATTCTCTCACCCTCCCGTGCTTCTGACTGTACCCAGTGCTTGTATAAACAAAACAAACAAACAAACAAACAAACAAACAAAAACAAATAATGCCTCTATAAAAAAAAAATTATATCCTACTTTGTAGTATTGATAAGCCTTCAATTAAATGTAAGGTTGATTACCAAACTTAAAAATAAATATACTCAAATACATGGAAACGTACACAGGGAGGCAGATGGGGTATGGGCATGTGTGGTTTGGTGGAGGGCTTAAACAAAATAAAAAATTGGGCCTCCCTGGACCTCCCCTGGTGGCACAAGCAGTTGAGCGCCACACTGTGAAGCTGTCCGCAGCCTCTGCAGCGCCAATTCGATCCTGGCCGGCCGGGGAGGGTCCCACATGGCGCAGCAGACCTCTCCTGTCTCGCCCACTGCTCGCCTCAGCAGTGTATTTCATCAGTTTGCCTGTTTTGGTCCCCGCTCTGTCTCTGGTGAATCCTCTCACCCTCCCGCACATCTGGACTGTATCCCGGTTCTTGTATAAATAAATCTTAAAAAAAAAAAAAAAATTGGGCCTCCCTGATGGCACGGATAAAGTCTCAGCACTATCAAACTATTGCCAGCCACTGAGGCACTGGCCAGGGATCCACCCCACATGGCACAGCAGACCTCTCCTGCCTCTCCCACTGCTCCCCTCAGCAGTGTATTTCAGTCAGTCTGCCTGTTCTGCTCCCCACTGTCTCTAGTGAATCCTCTCACTCCCCCACACCTCTGGCCTACACCCCAGTTCTTGTATGCACAAATAAATAAAAATATATCTTTGGGCCTCCCCAGTGGCGCAGCAGTTGAGTGCTGGGTTGCGAAGCTACCTACAGCCTCTGCAACGCCGGTTCGATCCCCGGCCACCGGGCGAGGGTCCCACATGGCACGCAGACCTCTCCTGCTGCCCGCTGCTTCCCTCAGCAGTGTATTTCGCTGGTCTGCCTGATCTGCTCCCTGCTCTGGCTCTGGTGAATTCTCTCACCTACCCATGCTTCTGACTGCTTGTATAAATAAATAAATAAATCTTAAAAAAAAAATATATATATCTTTAAAAAAGAAACAAAATTAAAAATTAAGCTAAAAAATTTTTTTGAAATGCATGATAATTAAATAATATATTCTTAGGGGCCTCCCTGGTGGCACCTAAATAAAAATAAATTAAAAAAATGCATTCCTAAATAACTTATGAGTCAAAGAAGAAATCACAAGGGAAATTAGAAAATAATCTGATGACAGAAAAAGAAGATATAACAAAAAATTTATGGGATGTAGCAAAAGCACTACTTAAATGGAACATTATAGCTATAAATGCCTATATTAGAAATATCTTAAATCAATAACCTAACCTTCCATCTTATAAAAGTTACAAACGAAAATCAAACTAAACATAAACAAGCAGAAGTAAGATTAGAGCAGAAACTAATAGACAACAGAAATACAATACAGAAAATTAGCAAAGCCAGCTGTATTTTTGAAAAAAATCAGTAAAATTGATAAACCTGAAAACAAAAACAAAAAACCCAAATCACTAAATTCAAGAATCAAAGAGAGGGGGTCCCCCTGGTGGCACAAGGGGTGAAGCACAGCACTATGATGCAATTCGAAACCTTTGCAGCACAAGTTCAATCCCCAGCCAGGAAGTTACCCACATGGCACAGCTGACCTCTCCTGTCTTGCCCACTGCTCCCCTCAGCAGTATATTTCATTCAGTCTGTCTGTTCTGCTCCCCACTCTCTCTGGTGAATCCTCTCACCCCCCACATCTCTGGCCTGTACCCCAGCTCCTGCATGCATAAATAAATAAATCTTAAAAAAAAAAAATTAAAGAGAGGCATTACTACCAACCTCACAAAAATAAAACTCTAAGTCAACAAATTAGGTAACAGATGAGATAGGCAAATTACTAGGACACAAATATCCAAAATCACTCGAGCAGAAACAGAACCCAAATCATGGCACCAAATAATTATTTGAATTTGATCTGAATTCAGTAAAATAGTTTGAGTCTGTCTACAAAAATATCTATCCATCCATCCACCCATCTATATATAAAAGAAAATCTTAATAGAGTGTAAGATTAAACCTGTAATTTTAAAACTTTCTATAAAGAAAAAAATCAATGAACAGCTGAATAGTTGGTTTGTTATTCTCTAAACTTCTCTGTATACCTAATACCTCACTTGAAAATTCATTACGTTTATAAATTCATTGCAAAGCCAAATGGCATGCTAAATTACAATTATTTCACTAAGATTCCAACATTAACCCTGTCTCTCAAAGATTGCTACTGTCAAATTCAAGTAAATTTTTTTTAATGCTAACAGTTTCAAAATGATGTCCATTTTTAATCTTTCTTTTACACCTTAGCCCTGTCTTTTTCTAGTGTTCTTTATCATTTGTCAAGTTTTCCAACCTCTCAGTCTTACTATGTATTCTACTGAGTCCTTCCCCCAGATCTCCTGTCTTTCTCCCAGCTGGGCTGCCTGCTCTATTAGGTAGCTTTTGCCCCGGCATTCCTTCACCGAGCACTTAGCTGGAGCAACTTGAAACTAGGTCGTTTTCCACCTCAAGTAGCTTCCTAAGAGTGGAGAGAAAAATGCTCTCAATTCTTGTATTTCTGAAAATGCTTTATTCTGCCCTAACAGTTGACTATTAGTAGTATTATAAGTTGAAAATTATTTTCCCTTAGAACTTTGAAAGCGCTGCTTTACTAGCTTCTACCATCCAGATTTCTAAGAAGAAATGTGCCAATTTTTGTTCCTTTAGAGGTAACTTTTTTCTCTGTGAGCTCTTTCAGAATCTTCTTTTTAAGTGCTATGCTGAAATTTCACACTGATATGTCTAGGTGTGGATCTTTGAAACTCTGGGGTCTTACTTTACATTACTCCTACATCCCACTGCTCCCCTATTTAGCACTGGGAAATTTTCTGGTATTATTTGGGACTTTCTTTCCTTCTTTTTCCTGTAATTCTACTAATCATCGGGATGAAGAGTAATGAAAATTATAAAATATAAAAGTGGGGAGAAAAAATAAATCAATACTGAACTTGCTTATATATGCTAAATATTTAGGGGAAATGTACTGACATCTGCAATTTTCTTTGAAATACATAAAAAGGGGCCTCCCTGGTGGCGCAAGGGGTTAGGACACAACCTATGAAGCTACCAGCAGCCACTGCAGCAGGAGTTCAATCCCAGGCAGGGAGGAGACCCACATGGCACAGCAAACCTCTCCTGACTCGCCTGCTGCTCCCCTCAGCAGTGTATTTCAGTCAATCTGCCTGTTCTGTTCCCACTCTGTCTCTGGTGAATGCTCTCAGCTTTCACACCTCTAGCCTGTACCTAGTTCTTGTATGCATAAATAAATAAAATCTTAAAAAAAAAAAAAAATAAATGCATAAAAAAGTCCAAGATGGATCGATTGCTGGCCAGATAGATGACAATGCAAATATATGAAAATGTTATTGGATGGAGTCCAGTTGGCGGACATGAATGCTTTCTGTAAAATTCTTTTAAATAAGCAGTCAGGGGCCTCCCCAGTGGCGCAGGGGTTGAGTGCTGGGTTGTGAAGCTGCCCGCGGCCTCTGCAGCACCAGTTCGATCCCCAGCTGCTCCCCGGCCACCAGAGGAGGGTCCCACATGGCGCGCAGACCTCTCCTGCCGCCCGCTGCTCCCCTCAGCAGTGTACTTCGGTCCTTCTGCCTGCTCTGCTCCCTGCTCTGGCTCTGGTGAATTCTCTCACCCTCCCGCGCTTCTGACTGTACCCAGTGCATGTATAAACAAACAAAACAAACAAACAAATAAATAAATAAATAACATGCCTCTATTAAAAAAAATAAATAAATAAGCAGTCAGTTCAAAAATTTTAATAACAAATGTTGGCAGGGGAAAAACTCAGAGAAGTACTCTTTCCCTTTTTGTCATGTCATTTTAACACCACATTTTTAGTCTATAAGCTCTTAAAGAAACGGAATACTATAACCAATGTGACATTTACAGTAAAAACCATTCAACTGCCTTATAGGCAGAACTTTACTTCTTATATTTACATAGTAAGTCTACTTTCCTCTGTGCAAGGAAAAAAGTCTTAATTCTATGGTTTTCAATAGTCAAGAACTATCAAACCCTTGGATACGATACACAGAATCGCAAGTAAAAGGAAAATATTACCAAAAATATCCATATCTAATATATGACAGCACACTAAGAGGTGTGATAGCTCAACAAAAGCCAATTACATTAAACTTTGAAAATGCAGAGAAGGCCACATTAGAATCTGGCACTGTCTGAATGAATTATTCCATTTACAATATCTTTCTCTTTCAACCAGTTTGATTTATATTCTGAAAATGGATTTTCTTTCCTTTAGATAATTTCCTTTCTCTACTTTGACAATACATATTCTCGCTGAAAGTTACAATTCCAAAAACTTTGGGGGAATGGAAGGGAATAGCCAACTGAATAAATTCTTCTTAACCTTTAAAAGTAATTAAGAGTCAACTTTTACCCACCAAAAATTCACAATATGAAATATCTGAAATCAAAGAGGCCAGAAAACTGACCTATCAGTTTGCATCTTTCATTTCACTTATTACAGGTGTGTATTTATGTTTTCGTAGAAAGAACGCTGATCTGTTTCCTAAAACTAAGGTCTGAAAGCACAAGTGAAAATCTTGTCAGGATTTCTGACTCTCAGAAAGAAACAACAAATAGACTTTAAGGACACCTACTGGTTTAGTCAATACCACAAGCTATCATTAAGATAAGGGAGTCGGAACTATTATTTCCAATTAACTCACCATTTCAACTGAAACATTTATTTGAATATTTCAATAAAAGACTTCTTCCATGGATGGCAACAGCTTTACCTCAAGGGCTTAAATTAAAAACCACTTTTGATTATAATGCTATAAGCCAATGTTACCTTGATATAAATTACTTTAAAAAAAATTGATTTTTGAGTCCTGACTGAATTTTAGTGACAGACTTGCCACCTCTTAAAAATGCAAAGTTCTTTATATAATATGCAATAAGAGAATTTTGTGTATATATTACATGTTGTGTACATATTAACGTATGAATATTAAATAAGAATACAAAAATCTCAGATATTATCTTTTAAGTTTTACTGAAGAACTAAATGTTCTGAGGCTATCCAGTAACAGAGGATACATTATTTTTGAAAATTCTTTAGCTTTTGAAGATTATTTTCAGAGAAAATTTCTATCAAGCTCTAACAGTAATTAACATAAAAATGAAGATAATTTTTATAGATTAAACATTTGCTTTACACTATATAAAACATCGAGTAAAGCTAAAACAGTATAACTATAAATATCAAAGGATAAATACATAAAGTAAAATGTAATCATGGGGGATTATGAGTATTAATAAATATTTAAAGAAACAAATAGTAACTAAGACATTGGAAGGAGGAAGGATCATCTTTGAGATGATCCTTTCTCATCTCCTTCTAATGTCAGATAAAAACAAGTGGATTCTAGTCTTAGTTCTGTCATCATCTGCATAACCTTGATAAATAAGTGAACTAAGGTGCCAATGTTTTCTCATTTGTAAAACAGAAAATACTGGTCCTATCTATCTTTCTCAGTGTCATGAAGGCAAAATAAGAATACGTACGAAAGAAGTGCAATTTCAAAATTACTGTTTTATACTGTACATATGTGTACATCCAAGGGGTTATACCAATTTGGTTATAACCAATAAAATTTTGGTTAAGCCAATAAAATCACTTTTATGTCATTTAAGGAAACAAAACAAAACCCTAATAATGACATTATCTTGTCATTATTAAAGAATATTGCCTGTGACAAACTAAAATACAGAGTCTAATTAATATGACCTTAATATTCAAGCAACAAAAACAGCTTTTCTACTTGAAACTAACACGTATTTATTATAGAAACTGTAGAAATCAGAAAACTGAGGCAAAAATAAAAATTGCTCACATTATTACTTCCAGAAATATTGTTGTGTATTTATCCATAAACACATAAAGAAACAAAAACAAAGCATACATGTTTCAATAATCTGTTTTCTTATATTGGAACTATTTTCCTATGTCAGTGATTATTTTTCTAAACTGTTTTTAGTGGCTGTATACTAACAAATATATATCCAACACATGAGATCATCATTATCTAGGAAGACAAGGCACATACCATCAGCACTACAATTCCCTAGAGAAAATCACAATTTATGCAAGGGGGCACAAAGATAATCAACCAGTAATGCAGTCACCTCTAAAGGGAAACTGGATGACAAAGAGAGGAATGAAGGGACGACCACTGCCTTTTACTGCACACCTTTCTGCGCTACTCCCACTAGTGCCTCCCCAGGCAACATAAGCAGTACATACCAAAATTTTATCAGCTTTGGCTTCACTAATTCCCTTAATATTTATTAGCTCCTTCTTTGGTGCATATGCAACGGCCTCCACAGTATGAAATCCAGCTTCTTCCAATTTCTTCACATCATTGGCATTTATGCCACATTGCTGCAAGAAAACCATGGATAAATGTAAGCTGCAGTTCTTGCATCTGTCTGATGCATGTGCAGAGCCCTTACTCAGTGCTTACCCTACTTCACATAGCTGTTTCAGAGAACTGAGATTATACGCAAAAGCTTTGGAAAGTGTGCCTCACATAAGGTATTTAATAATAAATGATCAACCTTTCTGTTAGCAAAACCAGCATGTAATATATATTAAAACGGATTCATTACGAATTGGGATTGAACCAGTAATTCTACCAGGCACTCCAAAGTAACTAATAAGCCTATAACTTTCAATCTTTTTTTACTGGGATTCTAACTGAACTTTGAGAGGCCAGGTTCTACAAGGTCACTTTAAACCAATGATTCCCACATTAAGCACATAAAAGTGTTGTTTTTGCTTTCTTTTTTTATTAAGCCGAGTAAACAGACAAAGCTGCCCCAAGAGTTGAGGATAGCACTGAATTTTTTTTTTTTTTTAATAGAGGCATGTTTATTTATTTATTTATTTATTTGTTTGTTTGTTTGTTTTGTTTATACATGCACTGGGTACAGTCAGAAGCGCGGGAGGGTGAGAGAATTCACCAGAGCCAGAGCAGGGAGCAGAGCAGGCAGAAGGACCGAAGTACACTGCTGAGGGGAGCAGCGGGCGGCAGGAGAGGTCTGCGCGCCATGTGGGACCCTCCTCCGGTGGCCGGGGAGCAGCAGGGGATCGAACCGGCGCCGCATAGGCCGCGGGCAGCTTCGCAACCCAGCGCTCAACCGCTGCGCCACCAGGGAGGCCCCGATAGCACTGAATTTTAATACCTGTCTTGTAGCACAATGACTGGAAAGCTCTGCTCTGATAACTGATGTTAAGAATGGGGGAAAGGGGCTTCCCTGGTGGTGCAAGGGGTTAAGACGCAAACTATGAAGCTGTCTTCAGCCTCTGTAGCACAAGTCTGATTCCCCTGCCAGCCAGAGAGCAACCCACATGGCGCAGCAGACTTCTCCTGACTCGCCGCTGCTCCCTTCAGCAGTGTACTTTGCGGTCAATCTGCGTGTTCTGTTCCTCACTCTGTCTCCGGTGAATCCTCTCACCCTCCCGCACATCTGGCCTGTACCCCAGCTCTTGTATGCATAAACAAATCTTTAAAAAAAAAAAAAAAAAAGAATGGGGGAAAGGTGACCTCCTTGGTGGTGCAAGGGCTTAAGATGCAGCCTACAAAGCTATCTGTAGCCACTACAGCACGAGTTGGATCCCAGGCCTGCCAGGGAGCCACCCACATGGCGCAGCAGACCTTTCCTGTCTCTCCCGCTGCTCCCCTCAGCAGTGTGTTTTGGTCGGTCTGCCTGTTCTGCTCCCCACTCTGGTGAATCCTCTCATCCCCCGCACCTCTGGCCTGTACCCCAGTTCTTGTATGCAAAAATAAATCTTAAAAAAAAAAAAAAAACACTCCCTGGGAAAAAAAAAATGGGGGAAAACTTACTTTTGGTCAGGAACTTACACCAAAACCATGACTCTGGGAAAGTATAAATTAGTGCCAGGGATAGGTATGTAGTTAGAGGTCAATTAAGCTTTGGGAGAGGGAATAAAGTGATATCTGCCTACAGAAGTCCTATTTGCCATTAACTTTTTTAAGATTTATTTATGCATACAAGAATTGGGGTGTAGGCCAGAGGCGCAGGGGTGAGAGGATTCACCAGAGACAGAGTGGGGAGCAGAACAGGTGGATCTACTGAAATACACTGCTGAGGGGAGCAGTAGGTGAGAAAGGAGAGGTCTGCTGTACCATGTGGGTTGCTCCCTGGCCGGGGATAGAACTCATGAGGCAGTGGCTGGCGACAGCTTGATAGTGCTGTGTCTTTAACCCCTGCATCACCAAGGAGGCCCCAGCCATTAATATTTAAACAATAAGCAATATGCTTGTGTGGGTGGGTGTAAGGATGCTCCTTTTACCAAAAGTTAAGGCTCTCATTCGCTAATATTGGTCACAAACCCTCTACAGTAACTTCTGGAATCTTAAAGCTTAGCTGGTAATGAATGGAATGTGTGTGTAAAGATAAAATAAAAAATTTCTCTGCTTTCGTTCTATTTCTTTCAGCACAAGATAGGTACACTCACACTGAGGGCACCGTATGATGAGTAGCAATAGTGCAAAGTCCCAGCTCTGGTGCCTGATATTATTATGCAAAGTCCTGCACTGGAGCTTGACTCTTAAACCTTAACAACCATAAGTTCTCATCCTTCCCATGACAGCTGCCTTGCTAGTAACTTCAGTACAGATCTGGGTCAGTGGAAAGATGCTGCTCCCCACTCCTACTGCACAGCTGGCCCAGTCCATTGTAATTCCTTGCAGAGTAAATTCATCCTTTGTATAAACAGCACAAAGACTCCATCATCATATCCTAGCATTTTTTTTACCTTTTGACAATTCAGTTCTAAGAAAATTAGTAAGTTGGAGGAGAATTCTTTTTTTTTTTTAAAGATTTATTTATGCATACAAGAACTGGGGTACATGCCGGAGATGCAGGGGTGACTCATCAGAGACAGAGCAGGAAGCAGAAAAGGCAGACTGACTGAAATACACTGCTGAGGGGAGCAGCGAGGGAGGCAAGAGAGGTCTGCTGCGCCATATGGGTCACCTCCCTGGCCAGGGATCGAACTCATGCTACAGTGGCTGCAGACAATTTCAGAGCCTGAGACCTATCCTCTTGAGCCACTAGGGAGGCCTCTGGAGGAGAATTCTTAACATAAAAAGACATATACCACAATCATAAGTTTTTACACAGGATCCTTGACAACCTTCCTGAAAACTCTAATGTGGGTCTTGACCATAAACTAACAAATTAAATGCTGTCTGTGATCTCTCCCATTAGATAAAAGAACCTAGTCCAGCATTATAATTCCAAAATCAGCAACCAAGCACATACCTCTAACCGTGAAACAGGCTGTGGACCAAAGCTCTCTTCTTCCACCGAAGTGTCTGCATTTGCTTCAAGTTGCATCTGCATAGCCATTACTTAGTGTTCAATACTGAAAAATTCAGATGGCCATCAGAAAGAAACCAAATAAAGTATACAGCCCCAGTTTAGCTCTTTAATAAACCTCTAAGGAATTATTTGCTAGGCTTTTCATCTAATCACTGACCTATCTATAGCAACGAAAAAGAAATTTCAGCTTCCCTTCCACTTAGTTATCTGTATCAGAAAGACTGCATTACGAACCAGGAAACGTTCTTTTTTTTTTTTTAAAGATTTATTTATTTATGCATACAAGAACTGGGGTACAGGCCAGACGTGTGTGTGTGGGGGTGAAAGGATCCACCAAAGTGGGGAGCAAAACAGGCAGACTGACTGAAATACATTGCTGAGGGGAGCAGCAGACAAGACAGGAGAGGTCTGCTGTGCCATGTGGGCCACCTCCCTGGCCAGGGATCAAACTTGCACTGCAGTGACTGCAGACAGGTTCAAGTGCTGCGTCTTAACCTCTTGTGCCACAAGGGAGGCCCAAGAACCAGGAAACTTTCTTTTTGAAAAATCACAGCTTAATTAGATCAACTATGCCCCTGATTCCCCTGCTTTGTAATTCTTAGTTAGGAACCAAGTCTTATTTTTATATACCCTATGACACATTAAAAATGTTAGAGGTTTGGTAAATATTTGGCAAATGAAGCACACTTTCTAGGACTTTTTCTGGGGATAAAGACTTGGGAAACTACATCCTTTTCTAGAGAAATCTGATGCTCTGGGTAGACAGTCTATGTCAATATTGAGCTGAATTGGGCCTCCCTGGTGACACAAGGGGTTGTCTCAGTATTATCAAGCTTATCTCCAATCACAGCAGCACATTTGATCCTGGCCAGGGAGCCAACCCACATGGTGCGGCAGACCTCTCCTGTCTTGCCCGCTGCTCCCCTCAGCAGTGCATTTCAGTCACTCTGCCTGTTCTGCTCCCCACTCTGTCTCTGGTGAATCCTCCCCCAACCCCACCCCCTACACATACCCTTGTACCTCTGGCTTATACACCAGCTCTTGTATGCATAAATAAATAAAACAAATCTTTACAAAAGAATTGAGCTGAATTGAGTTGAATGTCCAGATACCAACAGGTTGTTGCATCAAATTCCACCGGTTAAGTGCTACCTCTCCCAAGACCATCTCAATAGCAAGCCTCTACTATTACCTGTGCTTCTGACCAATGGGCTATAAATTAGAGGTTCCCACAACCCCTCCTCAGGTTCTATTAATTTGTTAGACCAGCTCACAGAACCCAGGAATCCTGTTTACTCATTAGGTCACCAATTTTATTACAAAGGATATAACTCAGGAACAGCCAGATGGAAGAAATTTATAGGGCAAGGTGTGAGGGCCCAGAGTTTCCACACCCTCTCATGTGCAGCACTCTCCCCAAATCTCATGTTCACCAATTTAGAAGCTCTCAAAGACCCCCCTTTTTGAATTTTTATGGGATTTAATGACTTAGGTGTGATTTATTAAATCAATGAGCACCGGCAATTGAGCTCAACTGCCTGCCCCCATTCTCCCAGGAAGGTCAGGGGTGGGACTAAAAGTTCCAACCCTCTAATCAGTTGATTGGTGCTTCAGACATTCTCTATCCTCAGGTGTTTTCCAAAAGTTACCCTTATTAAATAGCAAAAGACTCAACACTTAGGCAACTCCAAGGTTCTTTAAAGCTCTAAGCAAGAAACTGGATGAAAACCAAATATACATGAAATATATTTTGGTCATCCGAGTGTTCAATCATGATATCTCAACGACTATTTGTTACTGATAAGTTCAGGAAAAGATATAGCTCAATAAAGTGGAAATACAGATCTCTCAGATGGTAGATTTTAGCATAATTTAAGTCTAATTCCAAATGCTGCTATCACCTGAATGCAATTTAAACATCTCCATTATTTATGGAAAAAAGAGCACAGCAGTGCTATAGGGAAGGGATACTTCAATAAATAATGTCTGGTTGACTAAAGAACCTTTTTTTAAAAAAAAAAATTATTGATACATACAAGAACAGGCCAAAGGTGTGGGGTGAGAGGATTCACCAGAGACAGAGGGGGGAACAGAACAGGCAGACTGACTGAAATACACTGCTGAGGTGAGCAGGGGGTGAGTCAGGAGAGGTCTGCTGCACCATGTGGGTAGCTCCCAGGCTGGGGATTGAACTCGTGATGCAGTGGCTGCAGATAGCTCCATAGGTTGTGTCTTAACTCCTTGCATCACCAGGAAGGCCCTGACTAAATAACCTTATAAAGTGAACCTGATCACCACAGGGAAAAAACCCAACTTCCAAATCAGATTACCGCTCTAAATCTAAGAGGTAACAGGTAAAAGCCCTCAAGACTGGTCTAGAGAAAGATCTGTTGAACTTAATACATAAAGCAACAACCAAAAACAGAAAAACTGGACTATATTTAAATTCAGAACGTGTAGTCATCAAAATATATCAATAAGAAAAGGAAAAGTCAAACCACAGTGAGTGGAGAAAATATTTACCACATATATAACCAAAGGTTTGTCAGGGTTGAGGTCAGGCCACCCCAAAAACGTGCCAAGCAGCACACAGATTGAAGTTGCTTGAGAAACAGCCAATATAGGAATTACTATGATCCCCCTTTTCTTCTAAAATTAGAAAAAAAAATCTTCAGTGTGACAGGTGTACTCTCTTTATGAGGAGGGAAAGAGATCTCTTTACTGGTAAGTTTTAAGGGCTAGCTTCTTCTGTGTAATAAGCTCTGCTTAATTCACCAAATATTTCAAGAGCCTCTTTGTCTAGTGAGAAATTAAATGTGTTGCTCTGCTCAACATCACAGATCCCCTAATTACAGGGCATCTCCATGTGCATGAAAATAAACTGGTCTTTTTCTCCTCTTAACATAGCTTCCATCAATGTAATTTTTCCCCCAACCATAAGGGCCTAGAAAGGTAGAGGAATCCAACAGGCTGACAACCAGAATATATCAAGAACTCCTTCAAATCTGCAAGAAAGACAACCCAATAGAAGAACAGAAAGGAACTTTTCACAAGGGTTTCACAACAGAAAATATCCAAGTGGCCGGTAAACAAAGGAAGAAATGCTCAAATTCATTGATAAGAGGGAAAATTATGATTAAAACCAGCTATTATTACTAGACACCCACCAGAGTAAAATTAAAAAGCCTAACATCAAGTGTTAGCAAGTATGTGGAACAACTAAACACATACATTGCTGGCTTGAGTGTAAATCAGTACACTGGGAAACTGGCACTAAGAGAAATGCAGACAGACAAAGGCCGGGACCCAGCTATTTCCTCACTCTGCTCAATACAAAGACATGTACGAATCTACAGGCAGAATGCTGAGCAAAGTCAAGACACAAAAATGTCATGCATGGTGTTAGAGAAAACTTTAAAACTGGAGAAATTACTCAATGGTCTTAGACACTAGAAGTAGACACAGTGGGGGGCTCCCGGGTGCTGTCAATATTCTATGTATTGATTTTGTCCTAAGTCATGGAGCTGTGCGCTTGATTTGCGTATTTTTCTACATGTAGATCACGCTCCACTTTAGCAGTCGGCGGGGAAAAAACAAACCAACGTCACTTTAGAACGTCCCCTCGGCATCACGCGAACGGTCTTCCGCACTGGGCAACGAAAAAACATTTTTGACACCTGGACGCTGTGGTGGTTTGCGAGCCACACCTGGTGTCACCGGCAGGGCGAGGCCTGACCGGGTCCCCGGAGCCCCGGCCACAGCCGCTGCCCCTCCCCGGCGCCCGCCGCTGCACTCCGCCGCTGGAGACGCGGCCCCGGGGTTCCCGACGCGCTCCGAGGGGGCGCCCGGACATGCCCCGGCCTCGCCCAGCGCCTCCGGGCTCCCCACAGGCGTGAGTGGACCCCAGCAGCCGCGTGCGGGCGCCCGCGCGGCCAACGGCGGGGCCGACCCGGCCTGGGGGCGCGCCCGGCCCGCGCTCTGCCCACTGACCTCGGCCCGCCCGGCGGCCTGCTCGGCGGCAGCGCGCCCGCCTCCGGCCCCCGCTCCGCGCGCACCCGACCCCACGAAGCCAGACCCTCGCCCGCCCCTGCTCCTCCACTCGGCCTCTGCTCACAGCGCGAGGTACCTCCGGGCCCCAGCGGGCTCCTCCGGCGCCTCAGCTCTCCCCGGGCGCCTCAGGCCGCCGCGCGCGCTTCCCCGCGACTTTCGGAAATCCCGCGCGCCCGCCCGGAAGCGTGACGCCGCGTCGACGTCGCGTTCCCCGCCCTTCTCGGGCCGTTTCGGCCTCTGCGCGCGAGCCCGAGAGGGGGGCCCAGGGAGCTTGGCCTCGCCGGATGTTACAAACGGCCCTAGTTATTTTTCCCCGAAGGAGTAATTTAAAATGTGGGCGCTGCAGCCTTCTCTTCACCCGGTCGCGGTCTACAACGCCCAAGGAGCGAGCGCGGCCTGAGACTACATCTCCCAGTGTGCACCGCGCGCGACTTCCGGGCTTTGGCTCTAGTCCCTTTGGGAGATAGCCCCGCTGCCTGTAGTTATTCGGCGAGTTCCTGAATTGGCAAAACGTGGGCATTTGATTGTTCTTATTACTCCGTGCCTCTGACTTAATGAAATTCTTGGAGCCGGGCTCTTTCCAGGCCCCTGGAGGTGAAGGAGCTGAAGAAGCTATGAAAGTTGATGTACAAACATCATTGCAATTCTTTTGGATATATACCTACGAGTGGAATTGCCGGGGACACGGTAGTTCTACATTTAATTTTTTGCGACAGCGAAGTGTTTTCCACATTTTACACTCCCACCAGTATTGTAGAGTTTCAAATCATCTTTTCTATTTTTTTTAAATTATACCCATTCTAGTAGGCGTAAGGTGGTTTAAATTTGTATTTCTTTAATGAATAATGATGTCAAGCATTTTTTATTTGCTGGCTATTTGCATATCATCTTTGGAGAATGAAAGGTCTATTTAGATTGTCTATGCTAAAAATAGGGTTGTCTAAGTTGTAATTCTTTATGTTACATACCAGACCCTTATCAAATATATGATTTGCAGACATTTCCCCACACTTTTTATTTTTTTTGGTCAGACACATAAAAGGTTTTATTAATCATCTCATGAAAAATCTACACTATCACCACTGATAAAGTCACTAGAAATCTTTACTCCTTCTTGCCAACTCCAGTATTGGCCTTTGCAGTCCCCTGTCTTTCTTTATTCTGTTCTCGAGTTCCTAGCACTGTTTTCTTGAGGTCTTTTTCTTCTCATACAGGCCATGTCTTGCAAGTCTATGTTTAGGTTCATTGATCTTCTATTTTGAATCTGGCTAATGTCCTTTATTGGTTCTAATAGTTTTTAGTGAATTAATTAGTATTTCCAATATAGATTACATCTCTTGTGGTAATAATTTCACATTATATGTAAATCAAACCATCATGCTGAACACTTTAGACTTATACAATGATGTATGTCAGTCACTTCTCAAACTGGAAGAACATGAATGTCTTTTCTTTTTCTTGCCTAATTGTCCTCATCACATGTAAACAAAATATGATGTATTCATACAATGAAATTATTTTGGTCATAAAAAGGAATGAAGTACTGACATACACTATAGAATGAATCAATCTTGAAATATGTTAAATGAAAAAAGTCATAAAAAACATATGTATGATATCATTTATATGAAATGTCCAGAATAGGCAAATTTCATAGTGATAAGAAAACCACATTACTAATTGCTGTACAGGTGGGACCGGTGGGAGAGATGGTTTCTGGTGTTCTTTTATGTGTTTGGTTTTTGTTGTATTTGTTTTGCACAGGAAGAAGTCAGCATTTATTACATGTTGGGAAAAGGGGGTGCAGCAGTGGCCAATCTGGTGAGCTGCATTTAGTACAGGTCCTTGGAGTCATCCCCCACACTGCCAGGACACACTGCCATGCTTTTGGGATGGGGGGTCCTCAGTTGGAGGTCACATTGGGGCAAGGGAACACAATGATCTGAGTTAGTTTGTCCACTTCCCAGTTATTTTACTGACATAGATGCAGAAGTACCTGTAGTAGATCTCTGACCAATAATCACAATTCTGAATGGAACAGAACATGATTGTCCTTGCCCTCGTTGGTGTAGTTTGTTGTTTTATTCCAGGTAGAATGGAATATTTGCCAAACCTAGCTGGTAAATCCCATTTGGCTCTATAGTAAACTCTATGGGTTTTAAAAAACCACCTGTGGTAAAATATACAAAAAAAAAAAATGACATACTAGCTATTTTTAAGTGTATGGTTCAGCAGTGTTAAGTAGATCCATGCTCTTACTTTGTGAATACTCCACAACTTTTTCATATTGCAAAAGTGAAACTGGATATCCACTAAACAACTTCCCGTTCCCCTCTCCTCTACTTTGTCTCTGAATTTGACTACTGTATCTCATAAGTGTAATTACCTCTTGAGATGCAGCTTGCTGCCACTCTCCTCATAGGGCTGGTGCAGCAACACTGACAAGTAGCTCAGGGGGAGGAGTGCTCAGTGTGTGCAAGCTCTTCAATGATGTAGCATTTCAGGTGAAACCCCTTCTTGTACATGTGGGAGCTTGGGGTAAGCCTCATGGGCCATGGGTCATGTGTGAAAAAGGGGAGCTGTCTCCCCTCCTCCCTATAATGGTAATTTTCTAGTTCACAGATGCCTCTGGTAGTTGAAGAAAGCTTCTCCATTTTCACCTATATTTTGGTCAAGTCATCCAGGGTGGCCTGTAGCTCCTTACACAGCACCTCCAGCTCCTAAATTCTCAAAGCATCTTTTCTGCATTTTCATTACAGGCTAGGCCGCTGCCCTCTAGTTCTATCTTGTCTTTATTGGAAAAACTGGTTTTCAAGATGGCAATATTATTTGCAGTAGCGAAACCTACATCACTAAGGGTTTTCCAGTTCAGGATTAAATTATGCCAGTCCGCTGTGTTGTCCTTAATTTTTCCTGCACTGACAGATGACAACTACAGGAACTAGTAATGTGGTTTTTCTATCACTATGAAATTTGCCTACTCTGGACAATTCATAAAAATGAAATCATATATGTTTTTTTATGACTGGTTTCTTTCATTTAGCATGTTTCAGGATTAATTCATTCTATAGTGTATGTCAGTACTTCATTCCATTTTATGCCTCCCCAGGAGTCATGAAACCCCAACTTCATTATTTTGTGCATGGTCATTTTCTTTTCCTAGCCTGATATTAGTAGTTACAGTTTGGGGGAGTCTAAAGTATTACAGGGATTTTGCAACTGCACAGGGGATCAGTTGCTGTTAACCCCCTTGTTGCTTACTGTTCTTCAGAGACATAGGGATAACTGTGATTTATATGTGGTTTTTACACTCAAGTCCTAACATTTTAACCTTATCTGTTTTCAAATGTGTGGCTGGGCCCAGAGGGAGATTTTCTGGTATATTTTCAAAGTTATATGGGACATGTGGTAAAAACATACTTCACAAATTTTTTTTAACAAGAGATTATCAATTTATTAAAAAGGTTGAGTTATGCATTCACAATGGTAACTTTAACCTTAACTCCTGGCTCAATACTGATAGAAGAAATCTGCTAAACAATCTCAGAAGAACTGTGCAAGTTAATGAGTCACTTGTGGCTCCTCATCTGAAAAGGATCCCAAGTCTTAGAATATTCACTACATGGGGATTTTCTTGTGATTCTCAGAGTCTTGGCAGGCATTTGAACTGATCCTTTCATTTAAGATTCTTTTCCTCTGGACATCTGACCAAGTCAGCACACACATTTTTTCCAAAGATATCACTTTGGGGCTAGAGTAATTTCCAGGGAATTATCGCCTCTGGTTCCATGGTTGTCTTGTCTATAAAGGGAATGGCTATGGTGTGGCTTCCTGACCTACCTGTTCCTCAGCATGAGACAAAAGCAGTCTGGAGCAGGACAGGAAGGCCCAGAGACCCGGAACTCTGCTGCAGCTTTGATTCCACAAAGAGCTAAACTTATTCTAATAGTGCAAAAAAACCATGAAATTCCAAATAATATGTTGAACAGACACAAATGCAAATAACTAGGTAACTATTACAATTATGTACACCAAACCCAAGAAAGCTGAGACCATCATTACAAGTCAAATCATTCCTGGAGCTGATCCATTCAGGTTACTGAAATGTGTAAAACTGAACTTTTTAGTTTAGGCTTACAGAAAAGAAATAAAACAACTCCAATCAGAAAATAATTGTGAGTTTCATGGAAAACAGATATTGATTATTTTAAATGTTTTTTAAGGAGTTCATGGAAATAGAAAACACATCTACATCTAGATTTTATGGCAAATGAGTTTTATGTGGCTTTTGAGTTTAAAAGACCATTAGATCTTTTGATTAGTAGTTTAGAAGTAAAAACCAGACGAGAAGAAAGAGAACAATTATGGGGCCCACAGGACTTTATCTTGATTATAAAGTATAAATCAAACCTTTAAGCCTAATTAAAAAATGCAAATGTATTTTAGTTTAGAATTAAATATAAATGAAACAAAGTTATCAGGATCTGACTAAAGTCTGGGTAGACATTTTTTCATATTTTTCTATCACATATAATATCAAACATTCAATATCAATGAATACATGCTTATTTTTGTGTCTGAGGTGAGTGTGATTTAAGAAACCAGTATTTATGTTAAATTCTTTACTACTGCCAAAAATTGACAAAGCTATTGTTTTAGGTATGACACTGTCTGAAGTGTAATTAATAACAGGAGGTTGAAAATCTTGGTGTAAAACATCCTTCAGAAAGAAGGAAACTGCCAAGGCAAAAGGGTGTCTTTCTATACATCTTTATGCATTTCTATACATGTATCTCCTCACTACAACAGAAAACAAAAATAATGTATTTACATGTATGTAACTGGGCCAAAATGAATTTTACCTACAAAATTACATTAAGAAAACACAAGATATTATATAAAAAAAGAAGGTAAGGCCCGAAGAAAAGACTCCATATTCTCTATCAATACATTCTCTAATGGAGAAAAAGGAGGACGAGAAGTTTGTAGACAGACAAGTCTTTACTCCAGAAGCCAAACAACCTAAGAATCATAGGTCTATGTATGGAGAAATAGCTAATATTTTTGGCTAGTGATGACACCTCTGTATATGCTTATAAATTACTCCTTAGTGCCTGTACTACAGAAGAATGCAATATTTTAATTAGGAGAAATTTTCCCTACATATTCTACTACTTAAACCTTTGGTAGAAAGATTAGCAACTTGACAGCAGGTTATTTAAAGACTTTTGCCATTCCTGATTATAAAGGTTTAAAAACTAACCATACAAATTACATCATCAGACGTAATTTTACTAGGTTTCTATTGCCTAAAGACAGAAGTTGAATAGCAATGGAGACTATGACATAAGAGAATCATTAAGTGCAACGTGCTTGGTTGTTACAACTCTGGTCCATGGTGCTAGTGGCAGAAATGGCAGTCCTGAAGCAGATCTTGGTAAATTTGCTTGACTACATTCTTCAGGTAGTTGTCCTCCAGTGGCACTTTAGATAAAATGACAGCAATTTTATCTTGGCTAGAAATATAACAAAAGATTAATTAATTATCCTGGAACACCTGTCTCCATTTTGGTGGAATTCATGTTTTTAGATACAGTCTCTGAAGTTTCCTAGGCAGCATAAGTAGGCATTTCTGGAAATAGTCTGTCTAGCTTGAATGGATGAGATTCTAAAAACAAGGCCTAAGAATCAATTCTGTGTGTAACTGAGCTGATTCTCTGGCAATAAAGACCTAAACTACTGGTATTTGCTGATGAATTGAAGGGTAAGCACACTCTAAACTCTGCCATATTTCAATCTGTAAGCAGTATGTCTGAAAGTCATACAATATATTGTAGAAATGATATGGTTAAACCTAGTTCCACCATCTAATTGAAAAAGTATTATGGAGTATTATGAATCATTTAAAAAATGATTATTCAGTTTTTAAAGACATAAAAATTGCTCATCTATGATCTGGGCCATGTTTATGTAAGATTTATTTCCTCCTTAATTTCTGATTCCTGTGTAGATAGGAGTGGTAAAAATGTAGAGCAAATATAAAAGAACCAACCAATATCTCTAGTATCCACTGGGGATAGCAATGAAGGTCACTGACTTTAAAAGAAAAATTCTTCAAAATGAAGCTAGAGAGAAGTGACATTTGGCCTCACAATGGTCTATCCATTTGTTCAGCACTTTGTGGGATCTTTCAAAGGATATAACAAAAGTAAAAATGTAGTTGTGAGCCCTACTCTGTGGACCCTTTACTCACCCAATGTTTCCAAGGTGATTTTGAATGGAGAATGGTAATGGAACAGATGGATAATTAACTGAGAGAGACAAAGTTATCTCAAACTTTGCAAATGCTGCAGAGCTGGAGAATAAAAGCTTCAACCTGTAAAATACAAGAGCCTTAATTAAAAATACAAAACAAAAATACAATGAAACATAAGTACATTTTCCTATTGTACAGTCATGAGAAACTTAGGTGTGCATTATTTTCATGTTACCAAATGGGCAGAGAGTAAAACACCTTGAACAAAGAATTATTATTATTGTTATTTTTGGTTAGTGATAACAATAATTAACACAAGTTTTAGTTTTCAATAAATTACTTCTGGTTATATATTAAACCGCATTCCCCCAAAATTCACATGTTGAAGACCTAACCCCCAGGACCTCAAAATATTACCATTGTTGGGGGCCTCAGTGTGTCACAAAGGCTGAGTCTCAGCTTTATCACTGCTACAGCCTGAGTTCGATCCCCGGACAGGGAGCTAACCCATATAAGGTGCAGCTGATCTCTTGTTTCACTCACTACAACCCTTAGCAATTTATTTCAGTAGATGTGCCTGTTCTTCTCCCCACTCTGTCTCTGGTAAATCCTCTCATCCCCCACCCCCACACCTCTGGCAAACACCCCAGTTCTTCTATAAATAAATAAATAAAGTTTAAAAAATTACCATTGTTGGAAATAGTGTATTGCAAATTTAATTGGTTAAGAAAAGGTTCTACTAGAGTAAGGTGGGCACTTAATCCAAAATGACTGCTGTCCTTATTTAAAAAGGGGAAATCTGGACATCGACACGCACATAGGAAATATCATGTAAAGATAAATGCAGATATTAGAGTTATAAATTTACAAGCCAAGGAGTACTAAAGACTGCCAACAAATCACCAGAAGTAGGAAAGAGTCATAGAACAGATTCTTTTTCACAGTACTTAGAAGAATACCTTGATCTCAGACTTCTAGCCTCAAGAACTATGAAACAACAAATTTCTGATGTTCAAGTCACCCAATTTGCGGTACTTTGTTGTGACAGTCCTAGAGAGCCAATGCACTTACTCAGTATTATTCACATAAATGTTCATTAGGTTATAATTTGGTCCCCATCTCTTTAAAAATTCAATTTCCTCTCCAAGATGTCTGCAATGTCTCACTACCAGTGAGATTTCTTGAAGCATCTTGGAAAAGCAGGGAAAGAAACAAAGATGAAATAGAAAACATTTTAGTATTTAGTGGTTCTTTTATAAAGAATGCTCAGGGCCTCCCTGGTTGCCTAGGAGTTAAGTCTCACTGCTATCATTGATATGGGCTGAGTTCCATCCCCAGCCACAGAGCTAACCCACATATGGCACAGCAGACCTCTCCTGTCTCACCCGCTGCTCCCCTTAGCAGTGTATTTCAGTAGATCTGCCTGTTCTGCTCCCCACTCTGTCACTGGTGAATCCTGTTACCCCAGCACCTCTGGCCTACACCTCAGTTCTACACACACACAAAAAAGAATGCCCCAAAATTAAACAATGTAATATAATTATCATTTCAGGATCCACTATCATATACATACAAGTTCTGCTTTATGGGGCAGATAAAAATATTGCTTTAAATATTTAAATCAGGGTCTCCCTGGTGGCGCAGGGGTTAAAGACAGCACTATCAAGCAACTGCCAGCCACTATAGCATGAGTTCGATTCCCGGTTGGCCAGGGAGCAACCCACATGGCGCAGCAGACCTCTCCTGTCTCGCCCGCTGCTCCCCTCAGCAGTGTATTTCAGTAGATCTGCCTATTGTGCTATCCACTCTCTCTGGTGAATCCTCTCACCCCCCACACCTCTGGCCTGTACCCCAGCTCTTGTATGCATAAATAAATAAATCTTTAAAAAATATATTAGGGTCTCCCCGGTGGCACAGCTGTTGAGCGCTGGGTGGCGAAGCTGCCCGCAGCCTCCGCAGCGCCGGTTCGATCCCCGGCTGCCGGGCAAAGGTCCCACATGGCGCGCAGACCTCTCCTGCCGCCCGCTGCTCCTCTCACCAGTGTATTTCTGAGTTTTGTCAGTCTGCCTGTTATGTTCCCGGCTCTGGCTCTGGTGAATTCTCTCACCCTCCTGCACTTCTGACTGTACCCAGTGCTTGTATAAATAAATAAATCTTTAAAAAAAAAAATGCATTAAAAAATATTAAATCAGAATTTACCTTGGGTATCTGATGCTGTGTTGTACATTTCTTCTTCCAAAATTCCTGTTTCTCAATATACTGGAAAATAAGCTTATGAACTAAAAGGGAGGAAGGAGGAGCTTTATCTTCTGAAAAAGGAAAAAAATAAATCAAAAGCAGGTACTACTTATTAGTCATGTATCTTATATAGATGTAAGCTATACTATTATATAAACTAGAAATATTTTCAAATTACTATATGTCTAGGTATCTCTCCATTTTATTTTGAAACACATTAATCAACACATATGGTGAACACAAGACATTCTTATAAAAATTCAAGCTTTTATCACATACAGAATGGAATTTGGTTAAGAGCATAGGCTTAAATGTAACATAAAGGCATGCCTTTTCCCTTACTATTTGAGTGATCCTAAGCACAACACTTACTTCTTTTGAGCTGAAGTTCCCTATTTTGTAAAACGGGCAGTAATACTTTATAGTGTTGACATAAGTAAGAAACATGCCTGAGACTTCACAAATGCTCATTATGGCAATTTTTAAATTACAGAAGTAGCAATTATTAATCATTGCTCCAGATTTAGTAAAAATAAAAGTGCTTTCTTTTAAAACAATATTTAGTACGTTATCAAGCAGTTTTATATTCAACACACATTTCTAAGGGTAAATTATTATTGCTGCTGTTGTTTAATTTAGTATGAGAAAGAGTTTTCAAGGAGCAATTTACACTTGCAATTTCCAACAAAATTTTTAGTGGTTTAAATGTTTTGAACTTACCATCTAACAGAGATTGAAAATTCAGGTCAACAATCTTTCTGCAAGCCTTGTCCAAGAAAGGAAGACCAACTAGGAAGAACCAGAATAGGCAGTATTTCTTTTTAGTACTTGATTTTAAATCACATACAACTTAGTACTTTAGAATTCTATTATTTCTGGGTAGTAGGATATTTTCATAGGCAGTAGAAGGTTTACCCTTATTTATTCTCTCTATATGGTAAAGACTCTGACTGTTGACACTGTTGAACTACATTGATTGGCAGGCCTTTGAAGGAAATTTAAGGTTTTGGACATTTACATTAAATTTATTAAGGCTCCCCCCTTTTGTCCCCTAACTTCTGTGTAAAGGGAATATCATCTTCAGAAATCACATAAGTAGGGCCTCCCCAGTGGCGCAGCGGTTGAGCGCTGGGTTGCGAAGCTGCCCGCAGCCTCTGCGGCACCGGTTCGATCCCCGGCTGCTCCCCGGCCACCGGAGGAGGGTCCCACATGGCGCGCAGACCTCGCCTGCCGCCCGCTGCTCTCCTCAGCAGTGTACTTCAGTCCTTCTGCCTGCTCTGCTCCCCACTCTGGCTCTGGTGAATTCTCTCACCCTCCCGCGCTTCTGACTGTACCCAGTGCATGTATAAACAAAACAAAACAAACAAACAAACAAAAAATAAAACATGCCTCTTAAAAAAAAAAAAAATCACATAAGTAAAATGGCTATGATGCCCCCCCACACCCACTGTTTTTATACAAAAACAGTAAAAATGATTTATGCTTTTAGCATTAAAGTAATGAATTTTGGGGCCTCCCTGGTGGTGCAAGGGGTTAAGTCTCAGCACATTGAAGCTATCTGCAGCCATGGCAGCACAAGTTCAATTCCCAGACAGGGAGCTACCCACATGGTGCAGCAGACCTCTCCTGTCTCATCCACTGCTCCCCTCAGCCGTGCATTTCACTCACTCCGCCTATTCTGCTCCCTACTCTGTCTCTGTTGAATCCTCTTACCTGCACCCCACCACAGCTCTGGGCTACACCCCAACTATTGTATGGATAAATAAATAAATCTTAAAAAAAAAAAGTAATGAATTTTGGGTAGCCAGGATAGCTACTTGCTTCTCTAGACTGTAGAGCGACCTCTTATCTCTCAAATTATGATTCTTTCCACTTTGTTAATATTTACTTATGCGTTAGGCACTGTAGATGACAGGAGACATGCAGACATGATCAGTCTATGTTCTTAAGAAGTTGACAGCTTAAGGGGAAACATGGATAACTATTAATACACACACTGAGAACTAAAACTGTGATAAACTTATTAAGGAAAACTGCAGGAAGTAATGAAAACATAACAGGAGGGAAGTGATAGAGAATAGTTAAAAGGAGTCAGGGAAATCTTTCCTGAGGAAGTGAAAATTGAACTGAGCTACTAAGGATCGTTAGTAAAAATTTAGTAAGGAGTGCTCTGGGATGAATGATTTGTCTCTCTCCCACAAATTCATATGCTGAAATCTTTTTTTTTTTTAAAAAGATTTATTCTATGTATACAAGAGCTGGGGCACAGGCCAGAGGTGTGGGGGGGTGAGATGATTCATCAGAGACATTGTGGGGAACAGAACAGAGAGATTGACCAAAAAACACTGCTGAGAGGTGCAGCAGGCAAGTCAGGAGGTCTGCTGCGCCATGTGGGTTGTTCCCTGGCTGGCTGGGGATTGAACTTGTGCTGCAGTGGCTGCGGACAGCTTTATAGGTTGCATCTTAACCCCTTGCACCACCAGGGGGGCTCCATATGCTGAAATCTTAATGCCCAATCTGATGGTATTAGGAGGTGGAACATTTAGAAAGTGCTTAGGTCATAAGGATGGGGTACTCATGAATGGGATTGGTTCTCTTATAAAAGAGACTCTGGAGAGAGAGTTCCTTCCGCCTTTCATCATTTAAGGATACAACAAGAAGTCTGTACCCTGGAAGAGGCCCTTCCCTGACCACGATGGTATCCTGATCTTAGACCACTGCTACAGAACTGAAAGAAATAAATTTCTGTTGTATAAAAGCTACCCAGTTTATCATAGTTTTTAAAAAAGATTTATTTATTTATGCATACAAGAACTGGGATACAGGCCAGAAGTGCGGGGGAGTGAGAGGATTCACCAGAGAGAGTGGAGAACAGGCAGACTGGAACACACTGCTGAGGGGAGCAGCGGGAGAGGCAGGAGAGGTCTGCAGTGCAATGTGGATCACCTCCATGGCTGGCCGGGGATCAAACTCTTGCTGTAGAGGCTGCGGATACCTTCACTGTGTTTTACTTAACCCCTTGCGCCACCAGGGAGGCCCTATAATAATTTTTGGTATGACATTCCAAATGGATTAAGGTGGGGGAAAGAGTTTCTAGGCATAAGAAGCACTGATATGAGGTAGGATGGAATATGATTCAGCAGGAAAGACCACGCTCTTTTTTTTTTAAGATTTATTTATTTATTTATACAAGCACTGGGTATAGTCAGAAGCACGGGAGGGTGAGAGAATTCACCAGAGCCAGAGCGGGGAACAGAACAGGCAGACCAACTAAATACACTGCTGAGGGGAGCAGCGGGCGTGGCAGGAAAGGTCTGCGCGCCATGTGGGACCCTCATCCGGTGGCCGGGGATCAAACTGGCGCTGCAGAGGCTGCAGGCAGCTTCGCAACCCAGCGCTCAACCACTGTGCCACCGGGGAGGCCCAAGACCACCATCTTTTCAGGAATGAAAGAAAATTGTTTTGTCAATGTGCAGAGAACAAACGTTCCCACAGTATTCGATGAAGCAGGAAAAGAAAAAAAAAATTTCAATTCATTTATAGACTATATTAAATATTTTGATCATTAGGCTAATAGTAGGTCAGGTTTTTAACAATCACTATAGCTATAGGGATGAAAATCATTTGGAGAGGAAAAGGAGAAGATCCAGAAAGAACAGTGGGAACGTCATTGTAGTCATCTAGAGAAGAGATGACTTAGATAGACAAGATGAAGTGGATGAATATTAAGAAATTCAAAACAGTAAGTTAGTTTTACTAATGATTTAGATATGTCTGGAGAGGGAGAAGGAGCGATTCTTACACCTTAATTTTGGACCTGGATGATGTTATTCATTGAGAAAAGGAACTTTTAAGGAAAGTAACTGGTTTGGAGGCTGGGAGAGTGTAAAGAGCCTAAGTTCCAATTTGCGCATGTTTGCCCGCAGTTGAACATGCTGAAGCAAGCTGTTTGAAGAGATAACTAAAGATAGACAAAGGAGACCTCAACAAAAGAGTTTTATCCAGTTACTATATAATAATGTCAGCTTGCCTTTATAAGCCCACCAACACACACAGAACTGCCAAGTAATTTTTCAGTAAAATTAAATAAACACAAAAAAACCAAAAAGCCACCAGTTACCAGTCATAAATCTAACACAAAAGACAGATGGGAAAAAGAAACTCAGAGTAAATAAATGTGACTCACACATTGATCCATTACTTGGATAGGCAAAAATTTTATCATCAAATTCCCTTTCTTGCCTCATCTAATACTTATCTAATTCAATAAAGGGCAACTTTTACTAGCTTAATTTTTATTTTAATCTTTATTTAATAAAATAAAATTCTTTATTAACTAATTGATTGACTCATCTAAGATGTTCAGAGTGCTTTTATTAAGTCAGTAGTTATTATTATATTAAAGATTTGAATCTTTAGTGAGCTTAGTCCTCGATTTTTCTGCAGAGGAATTATCTATTTTTGCTACTCACCTACTGGCTCTCCAAAGGTGATAGTGAGTTCCAGTGTGTCATAAAGAAAGGTGAATGTAGCTTGCTCATCACTCCATTCAATGACATCCCACTCAGACAAGCTGAAAAGAGATAAAGACAAAAATTCTTTTTTTTTGAGCTATAAGAAGAGAGTTAAATTCTGTTACTATCCAAACAGTACCAGCAGCAATTTTTCTGCTGGTTGAGAAACGATATATATACATATATTTTAAAGATTTACCCATTCATGCATACAAGAGCTGGGGCACAAATCAGAGATGCAGGGCGGCAGGGGGTGGCGCAGGGTGTATGAGAGGACCCACCAGAGACAGAGTGGGGAACAGAACAGGCAGACTGACCGAAATATACTGTTGAGGGGAGCGGCGGGCGAGACAGGAGAGTCTGCTTCGCCATGTGGGTTGCTCCCTGGCCAGCTGGGGATCAACACATGCTGCAGAGGTTGCGGATTGCTTCCTAGTGCGGTGCTTAGCCCCCTGCGCCACCAGGGAGGCCCCGAGAAACAATATTTTAATTAAAGAGTTGTAAATGTACAAAATTAAATCAACCTTGAGTTGTATATCAGGGAAAAACCAATTCCAGGCAACATAAAGTGTCAAATATTTTAAAATTATAGTTTCATAGCTCTTCCACCTTGTATACTTTGAGTTTGTATACAAACATTGACAGCTTTGAGGCTGTATATCATAGATTATAAAGAATGATACCTGGGCCTCACTGGTGGCGCAAGGGGTTAAGTATCAGCACTATGAAGCTATCGCCAGTCACTGTGGCATGAGCTTGATTCCTGGCCAGGGAGCTGACCCACATGGCGCAGCAGACCTCTCCTGTCTCGCCCGCTGCTCCCCTCAGCAGTGTATTTCATTCAGTCTGCCTATTCTGCTCCCCACCCTGTCTCTGGTGAATCCTCTCACCCACCCCCACCCTGCACCTCTGGCCTATACCCCAGCTCTTATATGTATAAATAAATAAAATAAAATATACATATATATATTAAAAAAACAACAACAGTGATACTGGTTATGAATTCACAGGCTTAGACAACCACAAAGACACAAGATAAAACACAAAGAAACTAATGACAGTTGTTTTACCTCAACTGATCCAGTTGTTCTTCAGCTGCATTTGTTTGTTTTTGAACAAGGTCTATTTGATTAAGGATCTGTTCTTTCTGTACTTCCAATTCTGCAAGATTTCTGCAATAAATACCAGGTAATCAAAGAAATATAAGGTCTTCATTAGAGAATTTGGACTCCATAAAAATAAACGGCTTATGGGCAACAAATCAAATGCTAGATGGCTCCACAGTGAGGTGAATGGCATTCATTTTTTGCAGTTTTAATTTTCTGATAAGCATTAATCTAGAAGTATAGGTCTACTTAGGAAAAGACCTAAAGCAATGGCTTTCAAATTAGGACACAGGAAGTTACTCTTACATTCTTTAAGATTATTAAAATTCACATTTTTCATCTTGAAGATAAAAATATAAACATGATGTAGCTAATAAGTATGCCCTCCTTAAAAGTGAGATATGACAAAATTTTGGTATCTGCATCTTTTTGTTTAGATTTTTAGAGGTAAACAGAACTTTGTTTGTAAGTCATTTGGCTAGTATCAATTTAATTTCATCCAAACTTTATCACCTGTGAAATTAATGTTGTCAGTTGGGAGTTTAATGGTTTTGTCATTATTGTATTTGATTTCTAATAGTCTTAAATGAGATCCATCAGTATAAGTACATACGTCACTTAAACTTATTTGTACTTAGCTACAATATAAAAAAAGTTTAATGCTAGATTGTTTTCTCTAAAAAGATCTTGATAGTATTCAGTTTGAGAAATACTGTCTTGGCTTAGTGTCCAAAAAACATTATGTGCTTGTAAAATACTGTTTACTGGTCCCACATGGAATGGCAGATCTCTCCTGTGGTGCCCGCTGCTACCCTCAGCAGTGTATTTCAGTCATTCTGCTGTTCTGTTCTCTGCTCTGTCTCCAGTGAATCCTCTCACCCTCCCGCGCATCTGGCCTGTACCCCAATTTCTTGTATAAAATAAATAAATCTTTTAAAAATAAAAGATAAAGAAAATACTGTTGACTAAAATGTCTCTAGGGTCAAGGTCTAAGTGGACTAGAATCCTGGGTAAATATTCATGTTCCCTATCTTCTTTGTTTCTGGAGTAGGAGGCCATTCAGCCTTGTGAAGTTCAGCATATTTTCTAATACACAAATTGAAAGCTGACCTTTGAAGTATCTCTTCTTCAATTTTCAGTTGTTCTAACTCTTCGGGAAAAAAAAGAACAGAAAAACAAATCTATTAAAATGGACACATTAGGGCCTCCCTGGTGGCACAGGGGTCAAAGTCACAGCACAACCAAGCTATCGCTAGCCACTGTTACTTGAGTTAGATCCCTGGCCAGGGAGCTAACCCAATGGCACAGCAGACCTCTCCTGTCTCGTCTGCTGCTTCCTCTCAGCAGTGTATTTCAGTAGATCTGCCTGTTCTGCTCCCACTCTTTCTCTACTGAATCCTATCACCTCCCCCCAACCTCTGGCCCACACCCCAGTTCTTGCATACATAAATAAATAAAAATAAATCTTTTTTTTTAAATGGACACATTAAAACATTGCTACAAAAATCATATTTTATTGCAAATTATATCTCACTTACTGCCACCTAAATAAACTCAGAACAGATTACTTTTCCTTAATTAATCCAGTTACCTTTCTCTGCAGCTCTCATTTCAGAATCCCATTCTTCCAGAGGATTGTCTTTCTCTTCCAAATTCTTCGTTTCTAAAATAGACAACATGCACTACAATAACTTTGTGAAAAATAACAATCAGGGATGGAAGGCTATTTCCAAAATAAAGTGTAAACAATAATTCACAAACACTCATCTTTCCTTGCCTTTTTTTAGCCAATAAAGCACTAAGTTATAATTATAATCTCATCCCAACACTTGCTTCAAATGGCAGAGACGTGAACTTTGAGGTATATATCAAGCTTATTGTTAGGTAACCCTATGGACTAAGAAGGAACAGACACACACATATACAAATGCAAGCATTTTTATTAAAACTTTTTAAGTGTTTTTGAAACCTTGGAGTAATTCCTAAAATACCTCTCACTTCCCACATCCAAACCAAGTTTAGATTGTTAGCTCAAAAATATTTTTTGAATCTACTATTTCCTTCACCACTCCAAGTCTCCCTTAATATAAGGTAATGTCCATTCTTTTCTTTTTAAAAGATTTATTTACTTATACATACAAGATCTGGGGTGTAGGCCAAAGGCGGGTGGGTGAGAGGACTCACCAAAGACAGAGTGGGGAGCAAATAGGCAGACTGATTGAAATACCCTGCTGAGGGGAGTACCAGGGGAAACAAGAGAGGTCTGCTGTACCAGGTAGGTTAACTTCCTGAACTCATGCTGCAGAGGCTGCTAATAGCCTTATAGTGCTAAGACTTAATCCCCTGCACCACCATGGAGGTCCAAGGTACTGTCCTTTCTTAGCCACATAAGTCCAGTAATTTAACTTACATTTACTTTTGATCCATTAAAATACAATCTTTACATTGTAACCAGTGTAGAGATTGTTCAGTGAGAGAATGGTTGTTCATTGCTCTTAGAAAAAGCCAAACTCCTTATAAGGACCTCCTTTGTTTCCAAATGTCATCACCAGCTTTATCCCAGACTATATTCCATTTTGCTCACTCTATCCTAGCCACACTGGCTTTATTTCAGACCTTCTCCCATAGAAAGGCTTCTGCATGTTAAAGAGTCTGCTCTCTCCCTTCTCACTTTAACTTCTACTCATTCTTCAGATCTTATCTTAGTCACTTCCCTAGAAGGAAGCCTCTTGTGACCTGACTAGGTCAGATTTGTTTCAGGACCTTAAAGCACTATGTAACGTCTTTTCCACAGCATTTATAGGTATTTAATTCTTACATTCTCTTAGTTCCATAGCACAAAAGTTTTGTTTTTAACCACCATCGAATTCTTAGCACTGAGCACTGTTGATCTCACTAAATTTGAGCAAAGAATGATGAAGGAACAAGAAAGGAATAGGGAATCGAACAGTGGTACCTACAGAGGTAAGCCTGGTTGTTGGTATTTTTAAAGATGAGAGAGGTAAATATAATCCAGGTAAAGGAAGAGGAGAGGTTGAACATGTAAGAAAAGAGGGAAAATCAGTGATTCCTCAGAAGACAAATGAGGATGTAATTCAAAGTTTAGGAAGAAAGGAAGAATGAAAAACATGAATGTAGATACATAAAATTTTGGTTTGGCTTTTTTTTTTTTTTTTTTAAAGATTTATTTATTTATTTATATAAGCACTGGGTACAGTCAGAAGCGTGGGAGGGTGAGAGAATTCACCAGAGGCAGAGCGGGGAGCAGAGCAGGCAGAAGGACCGAAGTGCACTGCTGAGGGGAGCAGCGGATGGCAGGAGAGGTCTGCGCACCATGTGGGACCCTCCTCCGGTGGCCGGGGAGCAGCCGGGGATCGAACCGGTGCTGCAGAGGCTGCGGGCAGCTTCGCAACCCAGCGCTCAACCGCTGCGCCACCAGGGAGGCCCTGGTTTGGCTCTTTTCCACTACCTGTCGACTGCCCTCATGGGTCACGGGCGCTCTACCAGGAAGGGGCCTGTCTCAGTAGGCTCTGCCGCTTTGCCACAGAATTCCCACCTGGCTGAGGCTGATGTTTCATGATGTAAGAGTTTATCCATCATTTGGCCAAGAAGGGCACGAAACCCTCACAAATGGTGTGCTTCTGAGAGACTCATATAGTGTTGCACAAGTAGTTTTTGCAACAGACAATAAAATCTTGGGAATTCTTAAGTCCAAAGGACTTACTCCTGATTTTCCTGAGGATTTCTACTATATTTTTTAAAGATTTATTTATTTATGCCTACAAGTGCTGGGGTATAAGCCAGAGGTGTGGGGAGTGAGAGAACTTACCAGAGACAGAAGAAGAGGTTTGCTGTGCCATGTTGGTTAGCAATCTGGCTGCAATGGCTGCGGATTCCTTCATAGTGCTGAGACTTAACCCCTTGTGCCACCAGGGAGGCCTGGATTTCTATTTTTTTTTTTTAAGATTTATTTATTTATGCATATAAAAACTGGGGTACAGGCCAGAAGTGTGGGGGTGAGAGGATTCACCAGAGACAGAGTGGGGAGCAGAACAGGCAGACTGACTGAAACATACTGCTGAGGAGAGCAGTGGGCGAGTCAGGAGAAGTCTACTACACCATGTGGGATGCTCCCTGGCTGGGGATTGAACTTGTGCTACAGTGACTGTAGACAGCTTCATAGGTTGCGTCTTAACCCCTTGTGCCACCAGGGAGGCCTCTGGATTTCTACTATTTAATTAAGAAAACAATTGATGTTTGAAAGCATCTTGAGACAAAAAGAATAAGGCTGTTAAATTCTGTTGGATTTTGACTGAGAATCACATCACCAATTGACTTATTATTTTAAGACCAAACAAGTTATTCCCCCCCGTACCACTGGAAGTAGGAGTCATCAACAGTCTCTGGTTGCACAAATTTGTCTATGTACTCAGGTAATAAAATCATTGTTTAACTAGGAAAAAAAAAAATGTTTGGTAGCAAGAAGTTTAGATGTTCTGGCTTAATGCCTTCTATTTTGTGATAGAAAATAAGATAGTGACAAAGTAAAAATAACAATTTATTTAAAAATGTATTTTAAGATTAAAAAAAAGCAAGGATGATAATGAGCAAAGGGTTGGGGCAGTCTAAGTCTATGTAACTCATATGCTCATTATCAATTCAATGCAGAAAACATACCAGGCACTTATTCTGTACAAAGCATAGTGCTAGGAACTTTGATGAATATAGAGAAAAATTAAAGTTGATCTTTGCCCCCATGAAGCTTACAATTTAATTAGGATAATAAATGACATAAAAGTAACTATGGGGCCTCCCTGGTGGCGCAGGTGGTTAAGATGCAACCTATAAAGCCGTCCCCTATAAAGCTGTCCGCAGCCTCTGCAACACCAGTTCGATCCCCCCGCCGACCAAGGAGAAACCCACATGGCACAGCAGACCTCTCCTGTCTCGCCTGCTGCTCCCCTCAGCAGTGTATTTCAGTCAATCTGCTTGTTCTGTTCCCTACTCTGTCTCTGGTGAATCCTCTCACAACCCACAGCTCTTGTAGGCATAAATAAACAAATCTTTTAAAAAAAAAAAGTAATTATGATTACAAGCAGATTATGAAAGTACTGTAAGAATTACTAACAAAATAGCTATAGGATCTTAAAGGAGACAGAGATTACCTTCTTTGGTAGAAATAGAAGGGGATTGCATTAGCAAAGACAAAGTGACAAGATTTGGTTTAAATTTATGACATTTAAGGGAGTAGTAGAAAGGAAATTTGAAAATGATTGCAGAGAATGTTAAATGTCAAGGTCAGGAGTTTAGCCCTATCTTGTAAAAAATGAAGACAGAAAGGTTTTTCAAGAGTAGGATAATGAAAAGTGCCCTCACAATTATTAAACTGGCAACAATATGCATGTTGCACTAGGAGACAGAATGAAGTAAAGAATGTAGAAAGACTAATTAGAATATTTGAAATAACACATTTCAGAATTAATGATAGCCTTAATAGGAATGGGAAAGAGTTTAAGAGATGTTAAAGAAGCAGATATGACAGGACTTAATAAAAGAAACTCAAAGAAAACGAAATTTTCTTGCCTTTTCCAATATATAAGAATGATGATGCCATTAACAGAAATGATAAAGATCATAGAGAGAAGTTTTCAGATTTTGCACATGGGAGAAAACAGTAAGTTCCATTTTATTCACACAGAGTTAAAGGTGCTTAAAGGACTTTTTTGCAAAATTTCAACAAGAAGCTGCAAATGTTAAGTCTTGAACTCTTAAGAAAGAGGTTAAGGATGCCCTAACACATAATAATTATAAACGACTTCAGGGCAAAATCCATGTCGTCCATCTATCTATCTATCAATCATTTTTTTTCTTTTTTTCAAAGATTTATTTATTTATTTACACAAGCACTGGGTATAGTCAGAAGCGTGGGAGGGTAAGAGAATTCACCAGAGCCAAAGCAGGGAACAGAACAGGCAGACTGACGAAATACACCACTGAGGGGAGCAGTGGGCATGGCAGGAGAGGTCTGCGTGCCATGTGGGACCCTCACTGGTGGCTGGGGATTGAACCGGTGCTGCAGAGGCAGTGGGCAGCTTCGCAGGCCAGGGCTCAACGGCTGTGCCACCAGGGGAGGCCCTCTATCAATCATTTTTTTTTCCTTATGATGTTAAGCAAAGTATCTGGCACTCAGTAAGTGCTCAACAAACACTTGATAAATCTAACTGGATTTGGGAATAATTCACATAAACATAAGTATTACAACAGATAAAAGTATTGGGGGGGAGGGATACCGAAATGAGGAGATGATAAAATCCAAATGTCTACACAAGGGGCTTACCAGAAGCAGGCCAACAGAGTAGTTAAAAGGAACATCCAGGGGGCCTCCCTCATGGTGCAAGGGGTTAGGCACAGCACGTGAAGTTATTCGTAGCCTCTGCAGCACAAGTTTCATCCCCGGCTGGCCAGCCAGGGAGCTACCCACATGGCACAGCAGACTTCCGTCTGGCCTGCTGCTCACCTCAAGCAGTGTGTTTCAGTAGATCTGCCTGTTCTGTTCCCCACTCTGTCTCTGGTGAATCCTCTCACCCCTCATACCTCTGCCCTGTACCCGAGTTCTTGTATGCACAAATAAATAATTTTTTTTTTTTTTAAAAAAAGGGAACATCCAGTAGAAAATAATAGGGTTAGAGTAAAGCAATACCATAGAGATGCAAGGAGAGGGAAGTTTCAGAAAGAAAAGCACAAACAGCAATGTCAAATGCTGAGAGAGGACAGATGGCTAAGAATTGAGAGCTAACAAATTTGATAATTATGTAGAATTTTGTGCTCTTAGGAAAAGCAGTTTCAAGATAATATTAACAAGCTGAATTATGAGATCAAACTGAAAGGATAATTTTAAAATGGATGTAAGTTCATTTATTTAAAAACAAACAAACATTATATATGGTCTAGGTTATAAAGAATTTTCCAAAGACATTCATTATTTTGGGCACCTCCTGTTAATTGTGAATATCCAGAGAGCTTGAATTTGCTCAAATTTAATGTCTGAAGTTGCCAATGCAATGTTTCAGCATAGTGATACCAGCAAGCTGTACAGTAGGGAAGCATTTAGATAAAATTAAATTTTCTTTTGGAAAAGAATTCAGGGCCTCCCTGGTAGTACAAGGGGTTAAGACACAACCTATGAAGCTATCCGCAGTCACTGAAGCACAAGTTCGATCCCCAGTCAGGGAGCTACCCACATGGTGTAGCAGACCTCTCCTGACTCGCCGCTTCTCTCCTCAGCAGAGTATTTCAGTCAATCTGTCTGTTCTGTTCCCCACTCTGTCTCTGATGAATCCTTCCACCCCCCACAACTCTGGCCTGTGCCCCAGTTCTTGCATGCATAAATAAATAAATCTTAAAACAAACAAACAAACAAAAAAGTTCAAAATACTTTACCAATTTCTATTTCAGTGAGATAGTTATCAATCTTCATAAGTATGTTGTCCATCCCATCAATCCATATCTGAAGTTTTTTCCTTTCATTCTAAACACACAATATTATAAATTGTCAAGTTAAACCTCCAAGTAAAACAATATAACACTCAAATAGTTCAAATTGCTGACATAGCTGTTTTGTCTAAATCATGAACAAGAATATGTTAAATAAAGGTCAAAGCATCAAGTCTGGACTTAAATTTTTTTTAAGAAAGCAAACATAACATTATAAACTCATTTCTTGGCATTTTCCTTTATCTCAGCATTTCCAAGTAATATGAGACACTAACGCATATTACTTTTTATAAAGAGTTCTGCAAAAGTTCTAGGATCAACATGGAAACACTGGTCAAACAGGATTACTGCATTTTTTTTTCTTTTTAAACTTACAATAATTTCTGGGTTTTAGACCTTATATTTATCTAAAAAGGGGATATTGTATGTAACATCTCACAGACTTACTTGCCAATGGAAAGTTCTTTTCTGCAGTCTTTCTTAAAGAAAGCATTTTTGGAAATGCTTCTTTAAACACATGCACACATACTAACCTGGGTATTGACTATGAGGAAGATAATACTATAACATAGTCTTTAATAATGGAAAAGCAGATCCAATATTGTTTTACTTCAATATGTATAATGGATAACAAATTTAAGATGAGACATAGACCCTTATTAGTAAATATATTCCAGTATCATTAACATGTCAGAATCTGCCACTTTTGATAAATTGAACCCCACCCAATTTTAAGTTTTTGCCGGTTTGTCTTCTAAGAAACATTCTTCATGTTCCACGACCACTATTAAGTACTTTTAATACATTCTCCTTTCTATGCTGTTAACTTCCCCAAATTACCTGAGCTGACTGCACCAACTTGCTGTAGAGAGCCACTTTTCCTTGGTGAGTGAAGACTTTAGTCATCTTGGTAAAACGTGATTTTATTTTATTCAGGTAAATTCCAAAGTCCTTTAGCTAAAGGGAGAATCAAAGGGTACACTGCACTAAAACAAGTGGGTTGGAAGAGGCAAGTGGTCTAAGAAGGCTGGTTTAGCTGCTACATGCTAGGCTCTGCCAACCTAGACTCAATATGTAAAGTAAAGCACTTCTCATTTGCAAATTTGATTTCATTTAATAAAGAACAGCATCAAAGATTTTGATTTTGATTCATATATTTACTTATTCAGACTAAAAATTAGAAAATGACAGATTTTTTAATTAATAAGACTCAAAAACATTAGGGTACATATAAAATAAGTTGCTTACTACTTAGTCAATTAAATATTTTCCTCATTTAAATCTAAGTGAAAGGCAAATAAAAAGGAGGGAACACTAAATAAGCTTCAAATATATTTCATTTATGAAGCTGATCATTTCAGATTTGAAAAGATTATATATTAACAATTACTTGTATATAGCTAAATAAAACCTTGAAAACACATTATATCTGAAAAAGTAAATAACTCATAATTATCAAGTAACAGTTACTTATTTCACATTTCATTTAAAATGTCTATACTGATTTCCATTAAGAAAATGAGATAAAAGTACCTCCTCATCAGAGCCGTTTCTCATTTTTTCCCAGAGGTTCCTATTTACATCAGTCAACAATTTATCTTGGTTCAATGCAGAAAGCTTTAATCTAAAATATAGAAAAGTTAATTAGCACAGGGTTCAGAAGTCAGCTTAAATGAATTTGCAATTACAAGCATACTTAATTCTTCCTAGTTCATTTGTACATAAAAATATGGGAATTCACTCAAGAAGAATAATGGCCAGGCTGATTATCTCAAGATTTGTAGAACAGTTCAAGAAATCTATGAATCAATAAAACTTTCTTCACAAATATGTTGCTGGGCCTCCCCAGTGGCACAGCGGTTGAGCGCTGGGTTGCGAGGCTGCCCGCAGCCTCTGCAGTGCCGGATCGATCCCCAGCTGCTCCCCGGACACCGGAGGAGGGTCCCACATGGCGCGCAGACATCTCCTGCAGCCCGCTGCTCCCCTTAGCAGTGTACTTTGGTCCTTCTGTCTGCGCTGCTCCCCGCTCTGGATCTGGTGAATTCTCTCACCCTCCCGTGCTTCTGACTGTACCCAGTGCTTGTATAAATAAATAAATAAATCTTAAAAAAAAAAAAGAATTATTTTTGTTTTTCTTTAATTTTTATAAGGAACATTTTATTTTATTTTTGTAAATAAAGATTTATTTATTTTATGCATACAAGAGCTGGGGTGCAGGCCAGAGGTGCGGGGTGGGGGTGAGAGGATTCATCAAAGACAGAGTAGGGAGCAGAATAGGCAGATCTACTGAAATAAACTGCTCAGGGGAGCAGCCGGCAAGACAGGAGAGGTCTGCTGCACCATGTGGGTCACCTCTCTGGCCGGGAACCGAACTCTGCTACAGTAGCTGCTGACTGCTTCATAGTGCTGACACTTAACCCTTTGAGTCAGCAGGGAGGCTCTGTATTATTTTAAATGAAATTTCTCAATTCAGTTCAGTCATCTCACTTTTATAGAATTGAATCTATAAAAGTGGTAAAGTTATATATTAATCTCTTATTAGTAAATAAATTTCTATCAGAGAAGATAGATATAAATCAAGTAGTACAGCATATAGAAATATGCTATTCATTGTATGCAAGATGCTATTTCATTTAAAATAAAATGTACTCAGACAAATTCTGACATAACCAGGAGGATTTATTGAAATACACTGCTAAGAGAAGTAGCAGTAGCAGGCAAGAAAGGAGAGGTCTGCCACGACTGACATAACCAATTCTTAAACCAGAAGAAGTAAGAAATTTGTCTCTCATTTAATGATGAATCTTAGAACTTAATACAGTGTATGGCATATAGCAAGTACTCAATATATATTAAATGAACAAACTAGAATCAGACAAATTTGTAAGACTATAACAGCATCTTAAATTTCTATTTTTAAAATGACATATTTCTTTTTTATCCTTAATTTCTCATTATGCTTTTTTTTTTAATATATTCCCCATACAATTGCACCCCCCTTATTTTGACCCCTCCCCTAATTTCCCCGTCCTCCCCCATGGTGTGTCTCTAGTTTATAGTTGTTTGTTGATTTTGATTTTTTCTTTCTTATAGTTATTCTTTTTCCTGGTCCCTAATTTAGGTTTTCTAGATTCCTGCTATGAGTGAGACCATCCGGTATAAAATGACATAATTCTTAAAAGATAATTTTATTTCTTTTATCAGATTTAAATTTAGTTGGCCAGTTATAGATAAGTATGCTATAAACGTTATTTTAGGCTGTAAGTCCTGATTTACTTATAGGAATGTAGATATATCTAATCTGTAAATTAGTCTGCAGCATTTACATATACCAAAGCACTTTAAACCAAGTAAAAAGTAAAATTATGTTCTTTTATATATGAAAATCAAGGGTGAATATCCAAAGGCAGTTTTGACTTTAGTCAATTAAGTAGAAATCTCTGAAGATTCTTCTTTTGACTCTTTTTTTTTTTTTAATAGAGGCATGTTTTATTTATTTATTTATTTTATTTGTTTGTTTGTTTTGTTTATACATGCACTGGGTACAGTCAGAAGCTAGGGAAGGTGAGAGAATTCACCAGAGCCAGAGCGGGGAGCAGAGCAGGCAGAAGGACCGAAGTACACTGCTGAGGGGAGCAGCGGGTGGCAGGAGAGGTCTGCGCGCCATGTGGAACCCTCCTCTGGTGGCCGGGGAGCAGCCGGGGATCGAACCGGAGCCACAGAGGCCGCGGGCAGCTTCGCAACCCAGCGCTCAACTGCTGCGCCACCGGGGAGGCCCTCTTTTGACTCTTTTGAAGGTGTTCTTTTGCACTTAATTTATATTGGGTTGTTGGAAAAATCATGATGTATTTTTTTTATATTTTTGCTGCAAAAAACATTATGATTTGTTTTTAAAGATTTATCTATTTATGCATACAAGAGCTTGGGGGTAGGCCAGAGGTGCAGAAAGGTGAGAGGATTCACCAGAGACAGAATGGGGAGCAGAACAGGCAGATACACTGAAATACACTGCTGAGGGTAGTAGAGGGGGAGGCAGGAGAGGTCTCCCACGCCATGTGGGCCAGACCCCCAGGATTGACCCTATGCTGCAGTGTCTGCCGACAGCTTTGTAGTACTGACTTAACCCCGTGCACCACCAGGGAGGCCCTGCATTATGACTTTTCCAACAACCCAATAATATTATAGCCTAACAATTACTATTTATTGAGGACCAAATTTTTGCAAGAATGGCATGAAAACATTATATACTCTATTTCTATTGCTCTTTCCCATTTGCTGAGTAGGTATTATTACCAGCAATCTATGAATGTGCAAACGAAGTTTAGATAAATAAGGTTACACACCTACTATTGGAGCTAGGATTGAAATTCAATCTGTCTGACTAGAAAGCCAAAAAATCTTTGCCACTTACCAAATCATGCTGCCAATTAATGCTATGAACTTTGTCCTGCGTCAGTGTTATTCTAATCAAAACCATACCACACAGATTATTCACCCATGCAACATTATATACCAAAACTGAAAACATTCATACTCTTCAATCTTTTGGCGAAGAACATCACAATCTTCTCTATAAATCTGTATCTTGGGTCGGTAAACATATTGGCTTAACATCATGTCTTCAGGAGTAGGTGGTGTGTTTATAGGAAACTGGGGAAAAAAAAAAATCAGTCCCTCAAAATTGGTATTTTGCAGACAAAACTATGTTCAAGAACTCTTTCAGGTTTAAAAGTGTTTACTTCTTATTTTTAATTTACTTTTTTTTTTTACTGTCAGGATAAATTTTATTTGAACTCTGGAAAATTGCCCAAAGGTTATAACTGAATGTTACAAGTAGATGTTTAATTAAAACAACAGGGGCCTCCCTAGTGGTGCAAGGGAGTAAGACACAACCTATGAAGCTTGCCATAGTCACTGCAGCACAAATTTGATCCCTGGCCAGGGAGCTACCCACATGGTGCAGCAAATCTCTCCCGACTCACCCGCTGCTCCACTCAGCAGTGTTAAAAGTGCTTACTTTTTAAAAGAATTCTTTCTTTTTGCACAGAAGAGTTGAGAGCTGGAGTGGTGGGAGAGGGTGCGGGTTTGTGTGTAACAGGATTCACCAAAGGCAGAGTGGGGAGCACAACAGGCAGATTTAGTGAAATACACTGTTAAGGGGAGCAGCGGGCGAGACAGGAGAGGTCTGCTGTGCTGTATGTGGATTAGCTCCCTGGCTGGGGATCGAACTCAGGCAGTCTAGGTGATAGTGCCAAGATATAGCCCCTAGGCCACCAGGGAAGCCCCTCCCCCAAGTGCCTACTTTTTTAAAGTGCCTAATTTAAAAAGCTCTATAAAGAAAAATATGAACACTATTAAATTCAAATATCTAGTAAGTTATAAGTTGGAATTTAATTAAAGTCTCTGAAATCAAAGTTCACTTCACAGAGATGTTTAGAGGAGCTACAAGTGATCATGTGGGATTAAAAGTGGTATGAAAATGGCTTTACATTATTTTAAGAATAATTTTAAGAATCAGCACCTAAAAACTCAAATTTACCAGGAAGCCCTTCATTAAAATTAAGAAAAAAGATGCCTGCTTCCCAGATTATCCTTTTCTATTCCCATTCTCCAGCTCCTCTTATCACAGGTTGAACACAACATTTTTCAGTATGTGTGAAATAAAGCAGTGGAAATTTTTAAATTAAGACAGTAAAAATTGGGCTCTTTTAAAAATCTCCTTTATCTACTGATGTCCTGATGTAGTTTTGGAAAAATCAACTCAGCTCTTAACATCAGAGTACATTTAACAAAACCAAACCTCATAACAACCCTGTATTCATAGGCAGGGTGGCACAGGATAACTAATTTTACCACTAACCTTTGGTTCTCTCTTCATCGATAGAAAGGACTTAATATTGACCAACTTCTTTTTTTTTTTTTTTTTTTTAAGATTTATTTATTTATTTATTTATTTATTTATTTATTTATTTATTTATTTATACAAGCACTGGGTACAGTCAGAAGCGTGGGAGGGTGAAAGAATTCACCGGAGCCAGAGCGGGGAACAGAACAGGCAGACTGACAAAATACACTGTTGAGGGGAGCAGCGGGCGCCGCAGGAGAGGTCTGTTGCGCAATGTGGGACCCTCGCCAGCGGCCGGGTCTGCAGAGGCTGTGGGCAGCTTCACAGCCCAGCACTCAACCACTGCCCCACCAGGGGAGGCCCTGACCAACTTCTTGAGATTAGAATAAAGATATTGTTTTTGCTGTTTTTTCCTTAATTGGTACCCAATCCCAGGTTGTTAAAGTAATCTAACAAATGGTAACTTCTCATTCTCCGCTATCAGTTGATAAATTAAAATTAACTAAATGTGATTTTAATCTCTTTTCTCTGTTCCTAATACATTTTCTGATAGAGGTACTAAAAAGTAGAAAAATGCTAAAAGCAATTATAATTGAATTTAACTTGTTTTCTCAAAAGTATTTTTCTAAAATTATGCCTGGTATATGTATTTAAAACTTTCCATTTTGTTTACATAGCTATTGCTTGATAAAATGTCTCTGTTTCTTCAAAAGTATTTTTAAGGTTAGATTATAAAATTAACAAACTCAAAACATCAGAACTCGGGCCTCCCCGGTGGCGCAGCGGTTGAGCGCTGGGTTGCAAAGCTGCCTGCAGCCTCTGCAGCACCGGTTCGATCACCAGCTGCTCCCCGGCCACGGGAAGGAGGGTCCCACATGGCGCACAGACCTCTCCTGCCGCCCGCTGCTCCCCTCAGCAGTGTGCTTCGGTCCTTCTGCGTGCTCTGCTCCCGGCTCTGGCTCTGGTGAATTCTCTCACCCTCCCGCGCTTCTGACTGTACCCAGTGCTTGTATAAATAAATAAATAAATACATCTTAAAAAAAAAAAAAAAAACATCAGAACTCTAAGCATTGGCTCAAAAAGAAATGGTAACACTAGAACCCAATTTTCTTACTAAAAGAAAGTAGGACTCTTAGGAAAAATGCTTAATTGTTTTTTATATAGGCGTCAAATGCTTAGTAAAGGAATATTTTCCTTTATGGAAGTATTTGGAAAGTAAGTGAAAAAAGGAACTACAGAATTGGGGTAGCGCTATTTTATTTCTGATGGGAGTATAACTATAAACTTAAAAAAAAAAAAAAACCTAAATTTGATAAGGTCCCTGCCAATTTACAAAAAGTACAAAGGTGAAAGAAATGTTAAAATGTATGCACAACTTGAAAAATCCATTCTGTGGTAAGCTCTACAGGAAAAACCTCATTTCCTCATTATTAAAAAAAAAGAGAGAGATGGAAGGGGGATCTTAAGACTTAAAACAGTTAAGAGATACCAACCAATTATCAACCTCTTGGGTTGTAAACCAATGTTAGCTCAATAAAAAATAATATAAATAATAAATAAAATTTCACCTCATCAAAATCCATGATATAAAAAAATAGTGATGTTTATGCTAACCACAAATGTACCTACTACGGGAAAATTTGCTTCCTTAGATTCTTTTTTTGCTTTTGGATAAAATGCTTGACTTGGTGCAGTTTTATAACAAGCGCAATATATTTTAATTAAGTTAGCTATTTTGTTATGAACTGTACTTACTTTGGCTGGGAGATTGCTCTGTCGGGGTTTTTGTATCAGAACATGAACTTGAAGAAGTATAAAGAACTCCCGCACAGTTATTTTCCCATCTCTGAGTTTCTGAGGAAAGATAAAAAGTTTGTATGACCATTCAAGGTGAGTTCATTTGACTGTAACTACCTCATTTATTTCTAAGTAGCTTTAAGTAATTTTCACATATCTATCCAGATATTTGTAGACTATGAGCAGATTTTTATCAAGCATTATTTCTTATGGTTATTTAAAACAGTTGAATTGGGAAGAAATAACAAAACAAAGATCTTCTAAAAGTAATTTCCATTCCATGTAACTGTCATGTTGGGTTCTTAACAAAGAAAATAAAACTAGTCTTCTATATATATTCGAAATGCTTTATATTTTAAAAAGTGAAAAAAAAAAAAAAAAGGAAAATAGTTGCATTAGAATTTAACATACCTCCTTCAAACTCTCTTCACAAATAGCGTCTCTAAGAAACTGTGATTCCATTTGACTATTGTGATGTGCTAGATATAAAACAAACTCAGATGATGAACAAGTTAATTTTCTTTTCTTTTTTCTTAACTTTTTACTTTCTTAAATGGTGGGTCTTCTTTCTAGAGCTACTGTTCCCCTCAGGTGCGACCCTCCCACCTACAATCCACCCACATACCACCACCAGCTCCCTTCCGTCTCTCTCTCCAACTGGGATCACCACACTCCCCCCTTGCAGCAAGCTGTAGATCAACGATGGGCCCATCGATCTTGTCTTTTTGTAGGACCTTTTAAAAGGTTAATTTTAAATTTAATTTTAGTTATGTTTCAGGTTTTTGGATAGTTCATGTTTCTGAAGCTATCCACTATGATCTTTCTGAGAACTCAGTTGCTTGTAAGGTAAGATAGATTAGTTTTAAGGTTCCATTCAATATTTCTCTACTAATTATAAGTCTTTTAAAGAAATCACTCTACCCCTTGTAGCATATCACTTCTCAACATATTAAAATAACTAATATTAAAAAACAAAATATCATTTTACTTATGTTATTTACAACTCCCAAAACGTTTATATAACATTCAATCACTCCTCAATTAAATACATTTATTATTACTCAAGTAAGGAGATAACTTTTATTATTTAGCCTCATGAAGATCTTACTGCTGAAGTCCAGAGAGGTCCCATCAGCTTTGATTGAATCCAGAGAACTGCTACAAGTGGATGGAGTCCTGCTCAGGTTTTTTATCAATACACTGTTGCCAATTTTATCAATATCCCTTTCAGTACGGTAATCAAAAATCTGAAATCATCAATTAAGGAATATCATCAGGTTAAAGTTATGACACTACATAACTTTATCAGTTAATGAACACTAACAAAAAATACTAACATAAAATTTATCTAAAAGCCATACAAAATACCTTAGTAAAGAACTAGGAAAGAAAAAAGGCAACCTAGGTCTTCAGAGTTAAAAGTAATTTTATTTAAAAGTATATAGGGGGGGCCTCCCCGGTGGCGCAGTGGTTGAGCGCTGGGTTGCGAAGCTGCCAGCAACCTCTGCGGTGCCGGTTCGATCCCCGGCTGCTCCCCGGCCACCTGAGGAGGGTCCCACATGGCGCGCAGACCTCTCCTGCTGCCCACTGCTCCCCTCAGCAGTGTACTTTGGTCCTTCTGCCTGCTCTGCTCCCCGCTCTGGCTCTGGTGAATTCTCTCACCCTCCCGCGCTTCTGACTGTACCCAGTGCATGTATAAACAAAACAAACAAACAAATAAATAAATAAAACATGCCTCTATAAAAAAAAAAAAAAAAAGTATAGGGGCTTCCCTGGTGGCGCAAGGGATTAAGTCGCAACCTATGACGCTATCAGCAGCCAATGCAGTATAACTTTGATCCCTGGCCAGGGAGCTACCCAGATGGCGCTGCAGACCTCTGCTGACTGGCCTGCTGCTCCCCTTAGCAGTGTATTTCAGTCATTCTGACTGTTCTGTTCCCCACTCTGTCTCTGGTGAGTCCTCTCATGCCCCCACATCTCTGGCCTGTACCCCAGTTCTTGTATGTATAAATAAATCTTTAAAAAAAAATAAAAATAAAAGTATATAGAAGTTTTGTGCTTTATATTGTGTAGGCAAGTTGTTTCTCAGATATATCTAACTTATAGCCAGATTCTATGAGCTATGTATTATTGAATTATACATTTTTCCAACTAATAGTCACTAGGATCAGTGCTACTACACTACAGAAAACAGATTAGAATATTGGCTGTACATGGTGGCCATGGCTAAAATACAGAGAAGAAACTTATTTCCTGGTTTTAGTATTTTCTTACCCAGGTGACCCCAACTTCTTTGGCTAAAGTCAAGTAAGTCATAAAGTAATGTTTTTATCATTTTAAACATTTGACTTTACATGTCATTTTTATCTGAGGACAATGTATTCTTTGCCTAAAATGCTAGAATGTAGGCCTCCTTGGTGGCACAGGGGTTAAAGTCTCAGCGCTATCAAGCTATCATCAGCCACTGCATCATGAGTTTGATCCCTAGCCAGGGAGCTAAGTCACTTGGCGCAGCAGACCTCTCCTGCCTCGCCAGCTGCTCCCCTCAGCAGTGTATTTCAGTAGGTCTGCCTATTCTGCTCTCCACTCTGTCTCTGGTAAATCTTCTCACCCCCACACTTCTGACCTGTACCCCAGTTCTTATATGCATAAATAAAAATAAATCTTTAAAAAATAATCAAATAAAATGCTAGAATGTAAGCTGCATGACAACAGGTCTTTATACTCTTTGATGCATTTCCAGCATCTACATAAAAGACTAGGACATAGCAGATATTCAATAAGTATTTATTGAATACTAATTTTCATAGAATCTATTCAATTATACATGTTATATTTCTCTGAAATATACATGTTATATTTCAGAAACTATTTCCTCAGGACCTTATCTTATAGAACCACTGAAAACATCTTCTAAGTTCTACATATTCCCTAAGAGTTTAAAATTTATTTTCTGGACCTCTGTTCTAATCTTTTTTCCCCTTACCTATAAAAATTGGTTTGAGTGGTTTTATTCTTCCCAAGTTATCCAAATCAATGTTCTCTCAATATTTAGAAAAATGTATGACCTCTTTGAATATAAGAACTCATTTCTGAAATTGGGTTTGACCTAGCTAGGCATTCTCCCATGCTAAAGAAACAGTCTAAACTTCTGCATATCCTGATTAGCCAAGAAAATTCTGTCAAGCTTTTCTTTATGCAATCTACATAACGAAAGGCTTTTTTTTTTTACCCTTTAAATATTTATAATATTGAAGATGACTTTTCAAACTGCATATACCCAGCCTAGAGTACCTCATATGCAAAGCCACAATAATAAATCACTAGAGGTGATAGGACATAGAATTACACTATTCCAACATTAAGTTCCATTTCAATTTTTGTGATTACTTGCCACTTCAAATTGTTTTTAAGTCTAGCTGTTAGTCAATTACTTTCTTAAAATTTACATATAAGTATTTCTCCAATCTCATAACTGAAAATAATTCCTACCTATTCACAATTAAGGTTAAATTAAAAAAAAAATCATACATTAAAAATCAGGAATTCAAGAGAGAGCTCACCTCCTGATCTGGTATATCACTACACCTAATCTCACTTTTTCTGATTTTTTTCTCATGCTGAACATCATCATCTTCTTGTACCCTGGTTCTTTTTTGGCTGTTGCAGGTTTCTTCCATTTTATTTTCAGATGGTACAATCTCTTTTTGGTATGTGTCAGTTAAAGTCTTTTCCTCAATTTCTATGCCAATAGAGCCTGAGGAATTAATCTCACCAGGACATATAGGAAGATTTTCTTCATTTATATATTGAGATGGACTTAAGTTCAGTTTAGCTGCAACAAATCCAATGCCTGAATCTTTATTGGAGGCTGGCTGAGTTTCTGAATGATTCACACCAGTTGTGTATGTTGGAATCTGCTCCAGGTCATCAATACCACTGATACTACAATTTCTCTTATTTGGCAATCTGGGCAAAAATATTCCCAAAGAACATCTCCTCACTTTATCTTTTACAATTGTTAAAGGTACAGAGTTGGTTGCACCTCCATTATGACAAGTTTTTTCTTCGTCTCTGTCATCTTTAACATTGCTGCACACTATGTTAATATTATGTATTTCTGCAGGTTGCACTATATTCAAATCATTGTGTCCCTTATTTACTAATTCAAATAATTGTGGAGGTTGTAATTTAACAGTTTGGAATCCTAAAAATTCTTCAGTTTTTCCATTAAAATTATCCAGATTTGGTTTGATATTAGTAAAACTTGCTTCTCTAAGATTGGCTTGAGTTTGAATAACTTGCTTCGGCAAGTCTGAGTTACTGTAGAAATCTGCAGCTATATTGCAGTTAGCTATTTGAATGTTTCCCTCCAGTTCTTTTTCACAACCTGTAGTAAACTGATTGTCATTACTGCACACTTGGGATTCACTTTTGCCTGTGGGTACAGAGAAATTTCCTGTAATATTTAAGTTATTTTCAGCTTTAGACAGTATTGTTTCATCTTTGTTGACAGTACTCTGTCCTTGTTGAGGAAACGGTAGTTGGGCTAGATTTGAGGGCTCCTTAATCAGATCTTGATCTTCGAGCACTGACTCTAACTGTCCTTTAGTATTGGCTTGATTAACTTTTATTCCATCTAACAAAGAACAATGAGCCGAGGAAGGCAGTCCCTCAGATTTTGAATAATGTTCACTGGCTAAATCATTTGCATAAGCAAGATCATTTTGAACTGGACAATTACTGGCTTTCTTATTTTTACCATACTCAGTCATGTCATTCCCCTCTAAATTATCAAAATAGGAAATAACAGTGGGTAAATAAGAATTATCGTTGGATCCACAAACAGCAGTTGCATGACTATTTGTAAAATCCACATTTCTTCTCTTTGAGCTATCTAAGAGACAATGTTTAATTTTGGCTTTTTCCAATGGATAGGCCAGGTGTACATCTTTTTCCAACGCCTCTTCATCCATAGCAGTGCTATGGAATTTGCTGGTTTTTATCTCCCTTTGATCCCCAGACGATACATTAGTAGCAACAAAGGGTATAGCAAGCTTTTTTGGCTCAGTGTGAAGAACAATTTTGTTTTCTACAGCCAGTGTGTGCTTTTTAGTGATTTCTTGAACAGAGCTATCATCTGTAGGAAAAGAAATAAAGGCGTTACTTTTCACTGTTCCAAGTTTAGGGCACTCTTGAAGTAATTTCTCAGTGGCTTGACAATCAATGAAAACAGTATGGGACTTGGTGACTTCCAGTTCAGTGTGATTACCTGCTAACGTCACATTTTCCTCCATAGGTATAGCGGTTATTTTATCTGGTGAGACAGTTTTACATTCTAAGGCAGTTGTATGACTTCTGGTGATCTCCATGTCATCATGCTCAAATGTACACACAGTTTTAGAAGTTTCTGCCAAAGGAACCAAATGGGATTTCTCTCCATCTTCCAGAGCATGTTCGTTATTTATTTCCACTGTACAACTCTGGATATCCATATTATTTTTATCATTCTTTGAAAATGGAATGATCTTGTCATTCTTGAGTCTAAGGTTTCTCCTCTGACTATTTCCTGATAGAGGTTCATTCAGAAACCTAGACTTTTGTACATCCCTTTCATTTTTCCAGATGGTTGATTTAGATACTTCCATATTATCATCACCTATAAATCTTAACGTTTTCTCTATAGAACCACTATTAGACCACTCCCTTGGTAGTGTTAGCTGGTTGACTTTTCCTGCTGAATTCTTTGGAAAGAAAGCACTTTCCTCAACAGAAGTAGCTGTCACGGTTGGTTTTTCTATGCTTTTCTTCTTGGATAGCTCAAAGGTTGGTCTATCTGGAAGCACAGTTTTCTCTTTTGCTTGATAATCAATGAAAATGGTGTGTGACTTTGTCATTTCTAGTTCATCGTGATTATCTGCAAACATTACAGTTTTGTCCACAGGCCTTGTAGCTATTTTATTTGGTGAGATAGTTTCACATTCTATGGCAGCTGAATGACTTCTAGTGACCTCCATTTCACTCTGTCCACATGTATACAAAACAGTTTTAGATGTTCCTGCCAAAGATACCAAATGGGAATCATATTCATCTAATAAAGGTCTATGATTTATTTCCACTGTATAACTCTTGGTGATATCCATATCATTCTCATCAGCCTCTGAAAACAAAACAGTCTTATCAATTTTTAGTCTGCCAATACTTTTCCTTCCACACATTTTGACATTTTGCTTTTTATTCAGAAATCCAGCTTCCTGTACACTTTTGTCCTCCAATACACCCATGATCTCATTAGAAATAAATACTCCATTTTTTTCTATAAGATCTTTCTTACATTTTTCAATTTTCATAGCTATTTGTCTGTTCACTGCTGTTAGTTGGCTGTTAGTGGTTTTTAAATTAGTCTTACCAAGTTGCTGTACTTCAGAAGGACCAAATCCAATGACAACAGAGTGACTCTTAGTTAGATCCATATTTTGCTCCTCATCTGAACAAATAATTGTCTTGTCATGAGAAGAGTCAGGTATGGGACTACCTGAACTTTTTGTTAGTGGTTCAGGCAGTTTAGAATGCTGGCCTGGTACAGATTCCACTGCATGACTGTTAATAGCAGTATTATGATTTTTTATGGCAGTTTGTTCTTTTGATGAAAATAATGGCTTTGTAGCAGGAAATGAAGATTGCTCATATGAAACTGAATTACTATTATTTCTCAGTGCTACTTGTTTATCAAGATCTCCATCAGAGTATATAGGATTATGACTTTTTGCTATGTCCTGGTTAATATCAGCTGATTGAGGAGAATCTTTATCAAGACCGGGTGAAATCTTCAAAATGTGATCTTTTTCTTTGTCATTTAGGATGTATTTAGGTATTATGTTTGACTGTTGAAACAGTTCAGTATGACTTTTGGTCATTTCTTTCCATTCATTTGAAGAGCTATTGCTGGGAAAGAAAGCTTTTCTGGTATGCTCAGGAACTAAATTATAAGGTACAAGAGAAACTTGACTTCTTAGATTAGTTGTATGACTTTTAGTCAAATCCATATCGTCATCTATGAAGATTTTAGTATTTCTGTCAGTCAATGAAATAGATAAAGGATTTGCCAGGTTATGCTGTAATCTTTCCTCAGAAACACAAGAAACTGAATTATAATTTACATTCATTTCCTTATCCTCTGGCATGGTTATATGATTTTGGAACATCAGCTCTTGCTCAGATGTTGGTGTGGCTGCCATCTGTATATTTGTCTTATCGTCTTTAAAAAATTGATTATCTATTGCAATTGTGTGACTCTTGGTAATGTCCATGCTGGTTTCCTCTGAATTAGGATATACAATAGAATAATTATTATCATGCTTTAGCAAATTTTTCTCCCCTTTCAAACCTGAGAAACAATTGGTGAGTTCCATGGCATCATTACAACTAGAATAGAAAACTGTCTTATTACCCTGAATAGCTGGACTGGAACATAGAGATTCTGGGATCATGATCAATGTTTCAGCATCTTGGTTAGAAGTCTGTGTGACTGTATGAATGTCTGTTCCTACAGTATGACTTCTAGTATTATTTATTTTGCCTTTAAGGTTTAAGGAAGGTTCTTGAAAAGCAGCATTTGGTTTATTCTTAAAAATCGTTTTTTCTCCTGGAGCTTTAGTTCCACAACCTGTTGTAACATCCATCAAGACATTCTGAGTTTGACATTCTAATTCAGATAAATTCTCTTCGGAGGGTAAAATCTGCATAGTGTGGTTAGCTGTCAAGTCCATAAAGTCATTGCCGTAAATTACAGTATTATCACCTTTAAATTCCCTGAAGCTCATCTCGTTGGATGTGGGAATCAAAGTCTGAATACTGACTGTATGACACTGGGTAAAATTCATTCCATCATCTTGCTCTCGAAATATTCTAGTCATATTACCGCTATTTTCATCCACATTAGGGGATACATGCTTCTGATGTATAGAAGAGGTCTGACTTGATTCTTTGGAATGAATAGATATCTCAGAATTTTCTTTATCAGGTCCTATAGAAGAAGAAGCATTAAATTTTCCTGTTTTCATTCTTCTTATGAAGTCATTGAAATTTATTTTCTTTTCTGAAGAAGAGTTTTGATTCATGGGAAATTTTAATTCTTTTTTCATTCTTGAATTGTCTGTGTGGAGCTTTAAGTTAGCTAAAAATGATGTGGTGTCTACTTTGGGGAATGTTTCACTTTGGGTACAATCTAAAAGGTCTTTGGTAATCATCACAGTGTGACTTGCTGTCAGGTCCATCTGGTTTTCATCTGAGAAGATGACTGTCTGGTCATTTCCAACTTTCCTTTCATGATTGTATTCTGTAATTGTAATCTATAATAAAAATAAAATATCTTATCAAATGCAAACTTTTAAAAAGGTTACTTTACAACATGTCCTATATAGAGTATATTATGCAAACCTCAATGATTTTATGATATATTGGTTTATTTGAATCAATATACTGATGTGGTGTGTAGCATGTCATTTGTTAACGTTTTTTCCAGAAGTCTATGAATACTTTGTCTTTTTAGACAAATTGAAAGTTCAAGGTTAATTATATTCCCATTAGAATGACTACAAAATGAAAAAGACTGACAATACCAAATGTTATTATAATGAAAATTCTAATTACTATGTTAGGTCATTTTCATCCTAAATAACAAAAACTTGAAAGGGATTAAGTGCATGATGACTACTATATATATAGCATTCTGCACTCTTGGGAGTTGGACTGTCTTTAAATCTTAATGCAGTGGTTTTATTTGTAAGGACATAGTCTAACCCCTTGTTACTGAGTATAGTCTATGGACTAGTGTACTAATATCACCCAGGATATTGGCAGAAGTATAGAGTTCAGGGCCTATTGAAGTGAAGAAGAATTTATATTTAACAGCATCCTGAGAAGATTTGTAAGTCCATTAAAGTTAGAGAAATCCTGATATAATTAACATATGTCCCTATTATTTAAATTGGCAATGATGTATCTAAGTATCCTTAGTTTAACTGGAAAGTTAGGAAGCTTTCCATTCTATACTGGTCCAGTTTGGTAAGTAATCCCTAAAGCAAGCCATTAACATACACTATTTTGTGTACGGTTGCTTTATTTTTTAAGTTTTTTTTTTTTTTAATTTATGCATATAAGAGCTGGGCTGTAGGCCAGAGGTGCAGGGGTGAGAGGATTCATCAGAGACAGAGTGGGGAGCAGAACAGGCAGATCTACTGAAATATACTGCTGAGGGGAGCAGCAGGAGAGACAGAGGTCTGCTAAGCCATCAGGGGATCCAACTCAGGAGCAGTGGTTGGTGATAGCTTGATAGCACTAAGACGTTAGCCCCTGCACCACCAGGGAGGGCCCCCCATTTTTTTTGTTTTTAAAGTTTAACTGTAAAGGAGAATAAAATATGAAGGCACTTGCATGAATCCATACCTCTTTCTGTTGCATCTGGGTCTGAATGGGAGCACAAAGCAATCTGTTCATACCTATTGAGAAAAAAGAAAAAAACTATAGTCAATAACAAATATACACACATATCAAGAGTCTGATTCTCGGGCCTCCCCGGTGGCGCAGCGGTTGAGTGCTGGGTTGCAAAGCTGCCTGCAGTCTCTGCAGCGCCGGTTCGATCCCCGGCTGCTCCCCAGCCACTGGAGGAGGGTCCCACATGGTGCGCAGACCTCTCCTGCCGCCCGTTGCTCCCCTCAGCAGTGTACTTCGGTCCTTCTGCCTGCTCTGCTCCCTGCTCTGGCTCTGGTGAATTCTCTCACCCTCCCGCGCTTCTGACTGTACCCAGTGCTCGTATAAATAAATAAATAAATCTAAAAAAAAAATAAAGAAAGAAAGAAGTGAAGGACAAAATATTTAAAAAAAAAAAAGTCTGGGCCTCCCCGGTGGCGCAGCGGTAGAGCGCTGGGTTGCGAAGCTGCCCGCAGCCTCTGCGGCGCCGGTTCGATTCCCGGCTGCTCCCCGGCCACCGGAGGAGGGTCCCACATGGTGCGCAGACCTCTCCTGCCACCCGCTGCTCCCCTCAGCAGTGTGCTTCGGTCCCTCTGCCTGCTCTGCTCCCCGCTCTGGCTCTGGTGAATTCTCTCACCCTCCCGCGCTTCTGACTGTACCCAGTGCATGTATAAACAAAACAAATGAACAAACAAACAAATAAATAAATAAATAAAACATGCCTCTATAAAAAAAAAAAAAATATTTAAAATAAAAATAAAAAAAAAAAAAAAAAAAAAAAAAAAAGTCTGATTCTCCTTTTCTTAGGTTCTTTATCATTTATGAATAATTCCTTAAGTTTTATCAATTAACCTTCATAAGAACTTTGGTATTAAATTTCAGAGAGATGAGATTATTGTATGCTCTGTGTCACTGAAATATTTTTAGAATGTGGTAGAGATTTTAAAAGTAGAAACTCTGGACTCCTTTATGCCTCCCTCTTGTCTCCATTTTTATTTCCTGAATGGTAGAAATTACATGGCAGAGTACCTACTGATGAGACTGAAATATTAGAATAAAATTTTGAAGCATCTTTTATTTTTTGTTAAGGAATCCATGCATTCCCATAATGAGATATGCATTTTAAAATATATTACAAATAAGGAAAAGAAAGTAGATTTGTTAGCGATCACGAGTGAGAAAGATACTATAATCATTCAGACACAACAGAACAACAGTTCATGTTATGGCAAGAGACAATGAGCATGGAAATAAGGGATTAGATTCAAGACATTTTAGAACTAAAATATAAAGGTTTAGGTAACAAATTGGATTTTGGGAATAAGGAAGGAATTGAAAATGCCATATAAAACAGGAAATATATTTAAAAATACTTAAGCTTAAAGGCAAATTTTAGGGCATTTTAAAGCGTTATGGCACCCTCAAATATGAGTATAATGAAGTCATACATACCAAACTTTCATTTACATATATATACATATATATATATACATATATATATATATATATATATATATATATATATATTATATCAACCTTTCAACAAATACTGATTCAGAATCTATTATGTACCCCCAAACTCAACTATCTACTAAAACACACACACAAAAAAGATAAAATTTCTGGACCCAGAGTTGCTAGTTTAATTAAGAGTATTGGAAGAAACTCCTAAAATACAATGTAAAATAAATTCTGTAATAGACTGAGGAATAAAAGGGATATTGTCAGAACACAGGACAGTGACTAACTCCTCGTTTTTTGTTAGGGAAGGCTCCATTTAAGTCAGCACTACATAGTATGCAGTGCCATTATGTGAACTGTTTGTTACCCATTCAAGATGAGATTAAAAAGGGTGCAGTCAGGGCTTCCCTGGTGGCCTAGGGGTTAAGTCTCAGCGTTATCACCACGAATGCCTGTGGGCTAGTGGCCAGGGAACTAACCCACATATGGCACAGCAGACCTCTCCTGTCTCACCCGCTGCTCCCCTTAGCAGTGTATTTCAGTAGATCTGCCTGTTCTGCTCCCCACTGTCGCTGGTGGATTCTCTTACCCTCCCGCGCCTCTGGCCTGTACCCCAGTGCTTGTATAAACAGATAAACCTTAAAAAAAAAAAAAAAAAATAATGAGGACTGGAATTCAAACAGTAGCAGAAGGAATAGAGAAAAGGTTACAGATTTGCAAGATAGTCAGAATAGGAAGTAGGGTCAAATAGATATGGCAAATAAAGGTAAAGTTCAAAAATTCACTCAGTTCCTTACTTGTGTGAATGAGTGGGAGTCCACGATAGAGAAAAGAGGAGAAACATCAGTTTTGAGAGAATTAGTAGTTTGTGAAATTTTAAATCAAAGATTTTGTATAAAGAGAACTCTTCACATTTTTTTTCTTGGTTCTTCATATTACTTATCAAAGAATCTGGATGAAGAGAAAGATACATGATAAGAAAAGTACAGTGGGGCCTCCCCGGTGGCGCAGCGGTTAAGCGCTGGGTTGCGAAGCTGCCCGCAGACTCTGCAGCACCGGTTCGATCACCAGCTGCTTCCCGGCCACTGGAGGAAGGTCCCACATGGCGCGCAGACCTCTCCTGCCGCCCGCTGCTCCCCTCAGCAGTGTACTCAGTCCTTCTGCCTGCTCTGCTCCCCGCTCTGGCTCTGGTGAATTCTCTCACCCTCCCGCGTTTCTGACTGTACCCAGTGCTTGTATAAATAAATAAATAAATAAATAAATCTTTAAAAAAAAAAGAAAAAGAAAAGTACTGTGATCATACTCACCAGTAATTTCACAGGGGTTATCTTCTGGATCCTTATTCCTAAAAATTAAAATGTATTTTCATAATCTATACACTAAAAAATTACCAATAATCACAAGAGGTGAAAGAGTAGTGAAGTGAAAGATTCACAGAATGATTGGCAGAAAAATACAAAAATATCTTTAAAAGAAGACTCAGGTAGAAAAAGTTACAAGGCAAATAAAGACCTCTGCAGGTCATTGTTAATGGTTTGTTACTTCAAGAATACTATAAAAATGTATTTAACACATGCTATTTGCTTATTAAAAAAAAAAAAAAGGAATGATCTCTAAAGCAATTCCTTTTCCAGAAATTTAACCTTAAAACCAAAAAGCAAATAAAAGGAAACAACCCAAAAGTTCATAAATAGGGAGCTAAATGTTGGCACACACAACAAATTATAATTGACTGAAACAGATCTAAACATAACAACATGGAAAGTGCCACAAATATTATTAAGTTACTGCATTTTCTCTCTTATTAAAAAGAAAAGGCTAAAGATGAACATATAGTTGGGGAGACATAAAATTTCCTCAAGGATATCCAAATTATCAATAATAGTTACCTATGAGGAATCTAAGTAATAAGTTTAGAGATTTTACTTTATTGGTATATAAACAGAATTCTTTTTCCCCTGGCTCAACAGTAGTCAATTACATGGAAAATTGATGATTTGTTTAACCAATCCCTCATGATGCCCCTTTAGAATCTTTCATATCATTTGCTATTATAATAAATGTACCTTACATATTTATCATTCCAAATATTAATAAATATATTAGTGAGATAAATTCCCAAACATGAAATTGCTGAGTCAAAGGGCACATGCATTTAAAATTCTGAATGATACTGCCAAATGCCATGTACCATTTGTCCCCACAGCAATGACTGACTTTTTACCTGTATTCTTAACTGATTATATGAAAAAAATACACCTTGATATAGTCTGTTTGATTTTCTCTATAACAAAGAAAGATAGACATCTAACTATAAAAAAAAAAAAAACACATCTTTTCATTTGTTCAAGTTACTGGTATTTACTTTTCCATATGTTAAAATCACAATAAGAAAATTAATAGGAAAATACTTGAGACTATTGTTTTGTACTACTGACATATTTAAAGCACTTACAAATGAAAGTGTTTCGTGACTATTAAAAAGATAAGTTGTATGATATATATACTTATACACAGAACTGTATTAAATACTGCAAAGAATTTTTCTGAATTAATACTAATAGTCCACAAATGTGACACAATTTTTTAAATATAGGAGTTCAGGGTCTCCCTGGTGGTGCAGGGGTTAAGTGTCAGTGCTATTAAGCTATGGCCAGTCACTGCAGCATGAATTCAATCCCCAGAGATGAGTTCAATCAGCCAGGGAGCTCACCCACATGGCACAACAGATGTCTCCTGTCTTGCCTGCTGCTCCCCTCAGCAGTGTATTTCAATCAATCTGCCTGTTCTGCTCCCCATTCTGTCTCTGGTGAATCCCCTATTCCCCTTCTCCTCTGGCCTACATCTCAGTTCTTGTATGAATAAATAAATAAAAATAAATCTTTAAAAAGTAAAACTTACTTCATTTAATAGTAACAAATAGCTTTTAAAATACAAGTTACATTTTCTTACTTACTGCATAATCAGAACATTTTCTCCTGCTTCTGCTTCTAAAAATAAAATTAAAATTAAATTTGCTCAAGAAAACTTGCATGAAGGCATTGACAATTAAAAAAAAGAAATTACTTATTACCCATGTTATTTTTTATCCCCATAACTCAAGTCATACTTTTCAAGCAATAAAAGATATTAAATTATATCAACTATCTGGTAAGATAACCTTGGTAAAATTATACAGAAAGTAGATTTAGCAAGGATTACAGTAACATATTTACCTGTGATTTCTGACTTTCTCACTATTTTCATATTAGACTCTGTCTGGAATATCCTAAAAGAGAACATAAAGATTACTGATTATAATTTTTAATTAGAACCCTTTGGTGTTAATTTATAGTCTGTTTTGAGATAGGTAAGTGATAGGGAAATCATTCATAAAAATTTAGAATAATTCCTTGTGCATGTTGTTTTAAAGTGTTTATTCTGCTTTATAAACATTAAAATTAATAAACAAAAAGTAGGGCCTCCCCGGTGGCGCAGCGGTTGAGCGCTGGGTTGCGAAGCTGCCCGCAGCCTCTGCGGCGCCGGTTTGATCCCCGGCAGCTCCCCGGCCACCGGAGGAGGGTCCCACATGGCGCACAGACCTCTCCTGCCGCCCGCTGCTCCCCTCAGCAGTGTACTTCGGTCCCTCTGCCTGCTCTGCTCCCCGCTCTGGCTCTGGTGAATTCTCTCGCCCGCCCGCGCTTCTGACTGTACCCAGTGCTTGTATAAATAAATAAATAAATAAAATAAAATAAAAAAAAAATAAACAAAAAGTAAAAGAAAATGAAAGGAATTGAGAGAAAATAATACACACGAAAGTAAAACAAAGAATATAATGTGTTTATAAATTGAGTCCCTAAAGAAATCTAAAATAATGGAATAGAAAAATCTTTAAAGATTAGTTCAAAATTTAAGACCAAAACAGACAAAATGGAGATCTACCCTAGTAAAAGCAATGAATATCAAAGATAAAGAAAAAAAATCTGTTAGGTAGCCTGTCAAAAATATCCAATCATTTGTAAGAGGGAAAAAAAGCATGTACTACTTAAGACTTGTCCACTGAAACATTCAATGTCAGAAGACAAAAAGAACCACATTCAGAAGTTCCTTAAGGAAAAGAAAATGTGAACTGAGGATTTTATATACAGGAAAAGCTTCGAGTATCAAGGTTATAACCAACAGTTTTGAGCATCCAAGAATTCAGGGAACACTGATTTCAGTGAGCCCTTCTTGGGGAAACAATAAGAAAGAAAACGAGTCAACGAAGAGGTAATCAGGGCAATTATAGCAAAGGAACTAATGTGAACATTTAAATATATATTATAGAACTAAGACAAATAAATGTGACAGATGTCATAATTTCAAACAATGAAAAGAGAGATGATATAATTAAAAAAAAACTGGGAAAGGAAATGAGGAAGGGGAGAGGTTGACAGGTAGAAGTACACTAATTACCTTATCAACCATAAATGTCAAAAGATAGCATATAAAACAATGAAGTTTTTTTTAATATTTTATTTAATTCTTACATCATTTTTCATTTTTGCACAATGTATGCATTTTCAATTTGGTTATATTCCCCATACAATTGTACCCCCCCCCTCTTATTTTGACCCTAGTCCTTCCTCTTCCCACCATTCCCCCCTGTAGTGTGTCTGGTTTATAGTTGCTTGTTGATTTTGATTTTCACTTTGCATTGATTAGTCTTTTTCCTGGTCCCTTATTTAGGTTTTCTAAATTCCTGCTGTGAGTGAGACCATCCGGTATTTTTCTTTATCTTTCTGACTTATTTCGCTGAGCATGATCCCTTCTAGCTCCATCCATGTTACTGCAAACTGCATGTGTTTATCTTTTTTGATTGCTGGGTAATTTTCCATTGTGTATATGTACCACATCTTCTTGATCCAGTCATCTATTTTTGGGCATTTGGGTTGTAAAACAATGAAGTTTTAATTGAAGTAGTTCCTCCTTATCTGCAGGGGATACATTCCAAGATCCCAAGTTGATACCTCAATTGTGATAATTTCAAACTTTTATGACTCCAATCTCTTTCTCTAGTTATATTTTGTTAGCAGCTCCAATACAACTGTAAATAGCAGTAATAGGGCACAGTTATTTTGTTCTTGATTTTAGAAGGAATGTTGTTTATCTTTTAAGCATAATGCTGTGTAACAACCTTAAATTCTCTAATATTTATCTAGTTGAAACACAGATCATCAGTTAATACCAACATGCCTGGTTTGACACACAAAAAAGTATTATCTGTTGAACATTCTAATTTATCCTTTCAACTTACTTTATAGTATCTGCAAAGCTGACTCGACGAGAGTTTTTCTTATTTCTCAAAGCATTGGATTCCTAAAAGCAGAGAATATATGATTCTTAATGAAACCATTGTGAATCAAGTCTCCAGAGTACTATAGAAAGAGACCAAGACTTAATTCTGAATTAATTAGATATTATTATTAATTTGATTCTCTAAAATATTCCAATGTAGAATCACTTACAAGCATGAATATTATTTTCAATGTGAGCGATAACAAGTATATGAACATAAATAACATATTTAAGGCAGGTAATTAATGTCCTTTACTTTTTGCTATCAAGAAGATTTGGGATGGGCCTCCCTGGTGGCGCAAGGGGTTAAGCACTGCAGCGTGAGTTTGATCACCCCCTCTCCCACCCCGCCAAAGAGCAACCCATATGGCAAAGCAGACCTCTCTTGTCTCACCCGCTGCTCCCCTCAGCAGTGTATTTCGGTCAATCTGCCTATTCTGCTCCCCACTCTGTCTCTGGTGAATCCTCTCACCCCCACATCTCTGGCCTGTACCCCAGCTCTTGTATGTATAAATAAATAAATCTTAAAAAAAAAAGAAAAAAGAAGACTTGGGACAAATCACTGTATTGTTTAAACTATTTTTAAGATTAAAAATTTTTAAAATTGTGTTAAAATACACATAACATGAAATTAACCATCTTAACCATTTTAATTTTATTGTGATGAGAACATATAATAAGCAATCTACCCTCTGAAAAGATTTCTAAGTTTACAATACAACGTTGTTAACTATAGGCAAGTTGCATAACAGGTCTCTGGAACTTAGTAACCCAGTTGCCCTCCTCTGTCTATGGCAACCACTGTTCTGCTCTCTGCTTCTACAAGTCTGTTTAAGAAACTTCATAGAAGTGGAATCATATAGTATTTGTCCTTTTGTGACTAGAGTATTTCACTTAGCATAATGTACTCAAGCATCTTAATTATTTGCACAGTTCACTAATGTTAATACATTTGTATTGTTGTGCAATTAATCTCTAGAACTCTTACATCTTGCAAGACTTAAATTCAATATCCACTGGGGGCCTCCCCTGTGGCGCAGCGGTTGAGTGCTGGGTTGCGAAGCTGCCCGCAGTCTCTGCAGCGCCAGTTCGATCCCTGGCTTCTCCCCGGCCACCAGATGATGGTCCCACATGGCGCGCAGACCTCTCCTGCCGCCCACTGCTCCCCTCAGCAATGTACTTCAGTCCTTCTGCCTGCTCTGCTCCCCACTCTGCCTCTGGTGAATTCTTTCACCCTCCCGCGCTTCTGACTGTACCCAGTGCTTGTATAAATAAATAAATAAATCTTTTAAAATAAATAAATAAATAATAAAGGAGAGTCCTTAAAAAAAAAAAAATTCTATATCCATTAAACAACTTCCCTTTCTCCCAGCAACCTTCCCCAAGATACCATCCTACGTTCTGTTTCCAGTACTTCATAAGTAGAATCAAAGTATTTATCTATTTGTGACTGGTTTATTTCACTTGCCATAATGTCCTCAAGATTTATCCATGATGTAGTATGTATCAGATTGTCCTAAACAACATACCATGGACACCACATTTTGATTACTCATTCATCTGTCAATACACTGAGTTAGTTCTATCTTTTGATTATTATAAATAATGCTAATATAAATTGGGGTGTACTTCTCTCCATAACCCTGTTTTTAATTCTTCTGGATATATACCTAGAAGTAGAATTGCTGGCTCATATGGTAATTCTATTGGTTGATTTTGTTTTGTTTTGTTTTTGAGGAAAGGTCCTACGGTTTTCCATAGTGGCTGCACCATATTATTTATTTTTAAAAAGATTTATCTATTTATGCATACAAGAACTGAGGTGTAGGCCAGAGGTGTGAGGGGTGAGAGGATCCACCAGAGACAGAATGTGGAGCAGAACAGGCAGATCTACTGAAATATAGTGCTAAGGGTAGCAGCCGGTGAGGCAGAAGAGGTCTGCTGCACCATGTAGGTCATCTCCTTGCTCCGGGATCGAACTTGTGATGTAGTGGCTGCCAATAGCTTCATGGTGCTGAGACTTAACCCCCTGTGCCACCAGGTAGGCCCTGTGACTGTATCATTTTATCCCTATCAACAGTGCAGAAGGGTTCCAGTTTCTCCACATACCAGTCAATACTTGTTATTCAGAATTATATGGTCTCTAAAACCATATGTATTTCATCAATCAACAAAATGAACTGAAAGTCAACTATTTACCAAATACAAACTTTACAAAACTACACGATAAAGTTCCCACACTTAGGGAGTTGTAAATTTAGAATAAACATTAGTAAATAAGAACAATAGAAGGTATTTGGAGAGTAGTGAGTAATTCCAAATGATGAGATACACGTCTAAAAGTGGCAAGAAAGAAGACCAGAAAAATAAATAGGGTTAAATATTTTAAGTGCCATGGGATGTTTACATATATCACTGAAAATACTTAATCTATAAAGCATTTGCACTAGAGACTTACCTGAACTGTTTCATTCCCACCTCTGAGCTCCTGAAGAGGACTCCTTGGTGGTTTCAAAATCTGAAAGAGAATAAGCAAAGAAAATCTGGCTTATCTACATAAGTAGAAAGGCAGAGATGCTAAAATTCCTATAACATCTCTAACTCTCTCAAATTCATCCTGTCCAATATTATACCTGTGGCTGTGTTAAATATTGGCAAATTCCTCGTTCCCTGCCCACTGACTCTCTTTTCATGTGTTCTGTGTGAAGCTCCACCCAAATACCAAGGTATAACATGGAACCCTGGCCTAGAACAACCTATATGACAGTTTTGTATCAGTAGCAATGAGAATGAGTTTCAGAATAAGGACTCAACCCACATCAAGATAATCGAGGTAAAATGATTAATTCCATAGATGTTTAGTTTATTTAACTTGAGGAAATAGACACTAATTTTCATGTAGGAATTGAACCTGGAAGTTGGGAAAGATATATGTACTATAGCAGTCACTATGAGAGAGCCTGTCTGATAATGGAGTTACCTAGAGGAAGTAACTGGAGTAGAAAAAGTAAAAGGAAAATCCTGGTACCAGTGATATTGTGGGAACTCCCAGTCAGTAAATTATACCTAAAATCATCCCTATTTTTGGATATTTCACTTTCATAATCCAATAGATTTTGAGTTTAAATAAGTTTGAATTGCACTTTTTGTGTCTTGCTGTTTCTTTTTTTTTTTAACCAGTTTAAATATATTTTTAAACAGCCAGATTGAAGTATAAATTACATAGCGAAAATTTATGGAATTAATAAGATACAAATTGTAGTACAGTGACAGAATTGTATAACCAGGTTAAATATTTGAGTTTTTATTCTAAGAGAAATAGGTGCCATTGAGGGTGGGCTCGGTATACCACAACTAAAATTACTCTTCCATATAATCATCATTCAACATAAGGTAGTAAATATTCATTTACATAAGTGCTGCTTACAGAGGAATGCCGTCTTCTAACAGGTTTCTCTGTATTGTCACTGAAAGAAGAAGAAAATTTACGTAAGTATTGGTAAAAGACCGATTTTTCAAAAGCCATCATCACAGCATCCATTACATGCTTTTAAATTGGCCATCATTTTCACTTAACACATACATCACTTTCACTTAGCAAAATTTATATTATAAGACTAATGATTCATATTTAGGAAGTCAGTGTTTTAAAATACATAGCATATGCTACAAGACTATCTTTGGTAAAATAATCAGCACACAGTACAATTAGAGGTTATAAATAAGAGTTATAAGTTATTTAAAAAATGGGATATAAATCAAAGACTCTAGCTCTGTGATTTTCAGGTCAGATTTTAAAAATTCAAATGTTTATGGATGCCAAACAGTAAAAAAAAGGTAGTATTGGGTCTCCCCGGTGGCGCAGCGGTTGAGCGCTGGGTTGCGAAGCTGCCCGCAGCTGGTTTGATTCCCGGCTGCTCTCCGGCCACCGGAGGAGGGTCCCACATGGCGCACAGACCTCTCCTGCCGCCCGCTGCTCCCCTCAGCAGTGTACTTCGGTCCTTCTGCCTGCTCTGCCCCCCGCTCTGGCTTTGGTGAATTCTCTCACCCTCCCGCGCTTCTGACTGCACCCAGTGCTTATATAAATAAAAAAAATAAATCTTTAAAAAAAAAAAAAAGAAAAAAAATGAAAAGGTAGAATTGAGACTATAATGGAGAGTTCCTGCCTGGTCTAAAGGTCACAGTCATTAATTACTCCACTCAGGTTAGTTGTTACCAGGTAAGAATATAAACCCAGTGTTGCATCACTTGACTTTTCAAAAGAAGCTGAAAAGCTAATGGTTGTATGAAATCTTGAAATTTTGGTAACTAATTAAAAAACTTAAAAAGCCACTAGTTGGGCCTCCCTGGGTGGCGCAGGCAGTTGATTGCTGCGCTGTGAAGCCGTCCGCAGCCTCTGCAGTGCTGGTTCGATCCCGGCCAGCCTGCGAGGGTCCCATAATGGCGCGGCAGACCTCTCCTGACTCGCCCACTGCTCCTCTCAGCAGTGTATTTCGGTCCTTCTGCCTGTTCTGTTCCCCACTCTGTCTCTGGTGAATCCTCTCACCCTCCCGCGCATCTGGCCTGTACCCCAGTTCTTGTATAAATAAATAAATCTTAAAAAAAAAAAAAAGCCCCTTGTTTGTGATATCAACTTCACAGTTCCTCTCAGTTTTGACTCTACATGAGTGTATACAGAGATGGTAAAAAGGGCTATGACTTTGTAACATTTCTTTCTTTTCCTTAGAACAGAATGGAAAAAGATTTCAGAAGTAATCAATAGGTTTTATTAGTTGGAAAGTATCTTTCTTTGATAAAGAGTTTAACATTTTTAGAGGCATTGCATGAACTTACTTTTCATCATTAGTCTCTGAAGACATTCCATCCATTTATGAAGAAAAATTTTTCTGTAACAAATACACAATACAGAAAAGGTGAAGAGGAGAAATTACAATCTATGAAAAGATTAAGAGTACAGGGCCCTGAACCTCTCCTAGTGGCGCAGGCGATTGAGCGCAGCACTGTGAAGCTATATGCAGACTCTGCAGTGCAGGTTCAATCCCCGCCAGCCGGGGAGAAACCCACATGGCACAGCAGACCTCTCCTGACTGGCCTGCTGCTCCAGTCAGTCTGCCTGTTCTGCTCCCTGCTCTGTCTCTGGAGAATCCTCTCACCCTCCCACACATCTGGCCTGTACCGGGGTTCTTGTATGTAGAATAAATAAATCTTAAAAAAGGGCCTCCCCGGTGGTGCAGCGGTTGAGCGCTGGGTTGCGAAGCTGCCCGCAGCCTCTGCGGCGCCGGTTCGATCCCCGGCTGCTCCCCGGCCACCGGAGGAGGGTCCCACATGGCGCACAGACCTCTCCTGCCTCCCGCTGCTCCCCTCAGCAGTGTACTTCGGTCCTTCTGCCTGCTCTGCTCCCCGCTCTGGCTCTGGTGAATTCTCTCACCCTCCCATTCTTCTGACTGTACCCAGTGCTTGTATAAATAAATAAATAAATCTTTAAAAAAAAAAAAAATAAATAAATCTTAAAAAAAAGAAAAGTACAGTTGTGACTTTGGGATTACTTTCAGGTGCAGACCAAAAATAAGGAAAAGCCATACTATAGGTATAAAATGAGAAAATTTGAGTTTAAACTGCTATAATTAATACCACTGGGATAAGAGAAGATCACTTGGGATGATATGCACTTTAATAGTTCAAATAAAAGTTTGTTCCAGTTTATAGCCTATGGGTTATATAATCAACTCAATTAGGTATTAAAATATAGTGGATTTGCATGACATACATATTTATCTTATGAAAATTCAACAGAAAAATACAACAAAAAATTTAAGACATAAAAATAATATTACAGGGCCTCCCAGGTGATGCAGGTATTAAAGACACAGCACTATCAAGCTATCACCAGCCACTGAAGCATGAGTTCAATCCCCTGCCAGGGAGCTAACCCAGTGCAGCAATTCTTCTCCTGGCTACACTCGTTCAGTGTAGATGACATTATTTCTTCCTATAAACCTAGAATACTTTGTCAATTTGCTACCCTTTATAGTGTCCTCATACAATCTGAGCTTCTCCATCCTTTCACGTGGGCATGAATTGAACACTATTTCTGCCTTCAATTCTTTGGAAAGAGAAGACATAATCTTATTAGAATGTGGACAGTGCATTGAAATGTGCTTTGAGGTTTCTGCTTGGGTCAGAAGTCACAAAGGAATTGAATTTTATTTCTGTTGCTGGCGCTGCAGTGATGGCCACAAGGGAAGAGTCAAAATTGTTTTTTTTTTAACAGCAGCCCCTGCACTTCAGTATCCCCCTTCCCAAAAGCAACTATTTTTGTTGTGTCCAAAATGGTTTATTTAATTTAATTTTTTTATAGTCCTGCCATAGAGAAATACTTCTTTTTTTTTTAAGATTTATTTATTTATGCATATAAGAACTGGGGTACAGGCTAGAGGTTTGGGGGGGTGAGAGGATTCACCAGAGACAGAGTGAGGAATAGAACAGGCAGATTGGCTGAAATTCACTGCTGAGGGGAGCAACAGGAGAGGTCTGCTGCGCCATGTGGGTTGCTCCCTGACCGGGAATCGAACTTGTGCTGCGGTGGCTGCGGGCAGCTTCATAGGTTGTGTCTTAACGTTACCCCTGTACCACCAGGGAGGCCCTAGAGATACTTCTAAGACGCTATTGCACCTGGCTCAGAGAGCTTGTCTTGCCCAAGGTGACACAGTACCAGGATTCACTGAGTTTTGTCTGACTTTTCTGAGTCATATTGCCTTTTTTTTTTGAAAATGGTTTATTTAATTTTAAAAGTCATCATTTCCAGCAGTAAAATTGTATAATCAGAATTGGAGGCTTCTTCAAAAGCTACAAATGGAATGATTTGAAATGCAAAATTAGGAAGAAAAAAAAGGGAAGTGATTATAATTTACCTTCTTTGGTAAATAAATATTCCTGTATGAAATCTTTTGGTGTTTTTTTTCTTGGGAATAGGCTTTGTAATCCTACTTATAACATGTCTGTGTTTTAATATATAAACTACCTAGCCTAGTGCTTGTCATATAGTAGGTTTTGACTATGTTTTTGTAACATTGCATATAGGTTCCTTCTCAAAGTTTGTCAGAACAGTTTATCTCCACTATACAGAAGAAACTCCCAAAAGGGGTTAGCCAATTTGCAAAATTTTCATGATTTTTTTTTGATTGCCACAATAAGCTTTTTTCCTTGTGATGAGATCTTTTTTATCCTTTTTTTTAATTAAGTAAATTTTTTTCTTACATTGCTATAATTGTCATAGCTCTCCCCCTACCAGATCACCCGTGAACCATCACCATACTCTTAGTATTCTTCCCTCCCCTGGATGGACCCCCTCCCTCCCTCATGATGTTTTTAACTTATTGAAGTTAAAAAAACATTTTACCAAAAACCCTAATGTTCATGGATTTCTATTAATGGTGTCATAACCAGAAAAATGTTCGTAGGGAAAAAAAGGAAAACTCTCAGCATCAACCTCTATCTCATATACACACACATATATACACCCACCCAGATAAGTACAGTACAAGAAAGATTACATGCCAATTTCACTAATAGAAAAACCCTAAATAAATAGCAAAAAGGAGCCAGCAATTTGTAAAAAGGTTAATATAATCATGGTTATGTTGGTTTTACTCCCAAAATGCAAAACTGGTTTAATGTTAGAATATCAACTTTACAATTTATCATACTACAAATTAAAAACAGACTAAAAGGGAAAAATCATATGATTATCTCAACAAATTAAAAAAAGTTTGATGGAGTCTCCCTGGTGGTGCAAGGGGTTAAGCACCGCACTATGAAGCAATCCGAAACTTCTGCAGCCTGAGTTCGATCCCTGGCTGGCCAGGGAGCTAACCCACATGGGTTATCCACAGACCTCTCCTGTCTCACCCGCTGCTCCCCTCAGCAGGGGGACTGTATTTCAGTCTGCCTGTTCTGCTCCCCACTCTCTCTGGTGAACCCTCTCACCCCCCGCATCTCTGGCCTGTACCCAGCCAGCTCTTGTATGCATAAATAAATAAATCTTTTAAAAAAAATTTAAAAGTTTGATGAACTTTAACATGTTTTCATGTTTAACAAAATGAAAACCCAGCAAACAGGAATATAAGGTAAATCCCTTAATCTAATGAAGTGTCATTTTAAAAAACCAACAGCAAACATCAACTTAATGGTTAATCTTTGAAAACTTACCTCTGATCTGAGATCAAATTAAGTAAAACAGCTATTTATACTTATATTTAACCCACCATGAAGTTACAACAGCTTTATTTCTAATATATATTCTAAATATGTTCATTTCTATAGTGACACCATTATAGTTCAAGCTACCATCATCTCTCATGTGGAGTGTTTCAGTATTCACCTCACTGGTCTCCCTGCTTTCATTCTTATCCCCCTAAAGTCCTTTCTCTACATAGCAGGCAGTTATCTTCTTAAACATAAATTATATTAAAGGCTTTCCTACTTTAAACCTTCTTCAAAAAAGATTTACTTATTTATGCATACAAGAACTGGGGTACAGGCCAGAGGTGTGGGGAGTGGGCGTATTCACCAGAGACAGAGTGGGGAACAGAACAGGCAGACTGACTGAAATATACTTATAAGGGGAGCAGCGGGCGAGACAGGAGCGGTCTGCTGCGCCATATAGGTCACCTCCCTGGCCGGGGATGGAACTTGTGCTGCATTAGCTGCAGATAGCTTCACAGTGCTGTATCACCAGGGTGGCCCCACTTTAAACCTTTTAATGGCTTCTCCTAGGCCTGCCTCTATAAGGGCCGGAGGGGTCTGGGCTACCTCTGCAAGAGGTCTCTGGCCAGGGGAGCGGAATGCCAGGTTCTGCCTCCACATGGTGGGGGTTAGGGCATGGGTCAAAGGTGGAGGGTATTCCCCTTTGATCTGACCCTCACTTCAATCACATAGGTGCAAGGCATCCATAATTCAAGCACCCCCACTGCAGACCTCCAAGGGGGACAAATCAAAGCCCTGGACATAGTCATCGACTAGGGCAGACCTAGAGCTCGGTTGGATCCACGAGAGAATAAGACCATGGGACAAGCTGGTGTGGTGACCTCTCACATGAGCTCCATCTACAATATTTTCTGGAGCTGGGGAACCAAACCCAGGTCCAGAGATGCTTGCAACATGAGTGAGGCTTCTTCCTGCTCCAACTGAGAGAGGAAAACATCAGCGATGTGACTGGGGACCCAGAGAACTGGAAACCACGAAAGGAGACAAGATGAGATGGATCAACTACCTGCTAGAGTCTGTCTCCACCAGGATACTTCACCACCAACTCTGGTGGGGAGCTAGTTTCCCAATGTCAGAATTATAAGACTCAGAAGTAGCATCATGTGACAATCATTAGAATGGAAGGAACAATCAGTGTGAATAAGGATGCACCAAACCCAGAGACCATACCAGTGAGCAGAGACAGTTTCCTATACCATAGGAAGTTCCAAAAGCAAGAAATCTGAAGCACCACTTCACACACCTGCCTTACAAGAGGTTCCTGAAGTGCTCTGCCTTGCTACCAGCCTCACAGTTGCTCCCGGGAATCTGAGCAGCTGGTCTACTGCACTCCAAAAGCGTAGATCCTTATTCAGGAAAAGGACGAGTTTCCAAATAAAGGACAAAGCTTGGAAGACAACCATAGATCTAGGGTGTGCAGCAAAGGAGGTGTTGGAGTGATGGGGCAGGGGAGGGAAACACAGGGGAGAGGGGTGGTAGTACATGGGTGGAATATTGGTGGGAGGACCGCACCCAAGGGGAACAACTACTATATAAAGATGACTGATGATATAAGAAATTAAAAATAAAAAAAAAAAAAAGTCAAAGGGCCTCCCTGATAGCTCAGGAGTTAAAGTCTCAGTGCTATCAAGCTATCTCCAGCCATTGCAGCATGAGTTCTATCCCTAGCCAGGGAGCTAACCCTGGCTAACATGGCACGGCAGACCTCTCCTGTCTCACTGGCTGCTCCCCTCAGCAGTGTATTTCCGTAGATCCGCCTGTTCTGCTCCCTACTGTATCTCTGAATCCTCTCACACACACCCCACTCCTGGCCTACATCCCAGTTCTTGTATGCATAAATAAATAAAAATAAGTATAAAAAAATCAAGAAGATGTGGTATATATACACAATGGAGTACTATTCAGCAATCAAAAAGATAAACTCATGCCATTCGCAGCAACATGGATGGAGCTGGAAGAGATCATGCTCAGTGAAATAAGCCAGAAGGAAAAAGAAAAATATTGGATGGTTTCACTTACAGGAGGAAAATAGGGGAACCAACCTACTAAACATAGAGCTTCCATATGATCCAGCAATTCCACTCCTAGGTATTTACCCAAAGAACACAGAAACATCAATTCCAAAGAGCACCTGTACCCCTATGTTTATAGCAGCACTGTTTACAACAGCTAAGCTTTGGAAACAACCCAAATGCCCAAAAATAGATGACTGGATCAAGAAGATGTGGTCCATATACACCATGGAATATTACTCAGCATTCAAGAAAGATAAACACATGCAATTTGCAGCAACATGGATGGCGCTGGAAGGGATCATGCTCAGCGAAATAAGCCAGAAAGAAAAAGAAAAATACTGGATGGTCTCACTCATAGCAGGAATCTAGTAAACTTAAATAAGGGATCAGGAAAATGAATAACTATAAGAAAGTGAAAATCAAAATCAACAAAAAACTATGAACCCAGAGACACTCTATGGGGGGTGGGGGGCAGGGAGGGGAGGGATTAGGGTCAAAATAAGGGGGTTGCAATTATATGGGGAATATAAAAATAAAATTTATTTAAAAAAAAATAGGGGAACCAAATATAGGATCAAGAAAAAATAACAATAATAACAAATAAAAAACCAAAATTAGCAGGCAACTATAAATCAGATACTCTGAAAAGGAAGGGAAGGAAGCGGGATCAAAACAGGGGAGAGAAGAGCACAAAGGACTATGGTGATGGTTCACAGGTAAACTGGTGGTGGGAATTTTATGGGGACTACACCTGAAAGGAGAAAGCATACAAGCAGACATTGTACAAAAATGAACAATGAGGTAAAATATAAATAAATTTTTAAAAGGGGTGCATAAGGGGGGCTTCCCTGGTGGCCTAGGGGTTAAGTCTCAGTGCTACCACTGTGAAGCAACCACTGCAATGGTCCTTTGAGGCAGCCTGAGTTCAATCCCTGGCCAACCCCCATGGCGCAACAGACCATTTCAGCAGATCTGCTTGTTCTTCTCTCCACTGCATCTCTGGCGAATCCTCTCACCCCCACACCTCTGGCCTACACCCTAGTTCTTTTATGCAAAAGTAAGTAAAATCGTTGTTTTTAAAAAAACAAACAAAACCCTTTCAATGGTTTCCCATAGTACTGAGAAGAAACTCTTCGTGAAGACCCAGAAGTTCTACAAGATCTGGTCCCTATTTGCCTCTCAGACTTCATACCTTGCTCTTTCCCACTCACTACCCTAGCTACAGTGGTACTTCTATTCCTACCCACACAAAGCTCTTTCCTGATTCACTGAATTAACATTCGCTATTCTCTCTCTTGGCCAGAAAGCCAAGAAAAGCACTATTTGTAACATAGAGTATGTCTCCTTGAAGCATTGTCACCACTGCAACTTAAACATCTGTTATGTAAACTATTTCAACTACCCCTTGCCCTCACAGTAAACTGTTATGTTCTGAAAACCTGGCAGTGCTTTGCAAACTACAGAAGTTCAATAACGATTTGCTGCATGAGTAATTAAGAAACAATTCTTTAAAGTTATCTTTATGATGACTAACTTGCCTATTTTTCTCCTTTGGGGAGTATTTTCAAATTCAGCGACATATTCAAAATTCACAGATAAAAATATTAAATACTATCAAATCAGGATTACCTACACATCTTTACTGTTTGAAATAGCCTGAGCATTATCCTTTTTTTTTTTTTTTTTTTTTTAATAGAGGCATGCTTTATTTATTTATTTATTTTACTTGTTTGTTTATACATGCACTGGGTACAGTCAGAAGCGCGGGAGGGTGAGAGAATTCACCAGAGCCAGAGCGGGGTGCAGAGCAGGCAGAAGGACCGAAGTACACTGCTGAGGGGAGCAGCGGGCGGCAGGAGAGGTCTGCGCGCCATGTGGGACCCTCCTCCGGTGGCTGGGGAGCAGCCGGGGATTGAACCGGCACCGCAGAGGCCGCGGGCAGCTTCGCAACCCAGCGCTCTACCGCTGCGCCACCGGGGAGGCCCCAGAGCATTATCCTTTTTAACCTAAAGATCAGCTGGCATTTAACTGATGAGATTCAAAGCTTACTGAAGTCCCCCTTTTAAATATCTATTACATAACTGCTAATTTCACCTTTCACAGAAATTGGAGACCCCGGGTTCCAAGGATCATTCCTAAAATACTATTATGGTTGAACTCTGGCTCACTGGCATATTAATTGATTATTGATTGATTCTAAAATAGAACATCTGGTATCCAGTGCTGTTACAGCATGTTCAAAGATGTCATGAGATATTTTAAGTTGAGAGAAACAGCAATTGGTGACAAGTCATGATCACACTAATAGCTCAAAATAGCACCCCCTTCCATATTACATTAGTTTTATAACATTTTATGGTAAAGCTGGATTATTGGCAGTAGTTTTAAAGCAAGTACTTTTTCACATTGTGGTACAAGAAATGAGGATTTCGTTCCAATTTGATTCCAAGATTTGAGAAGTACAGTATTCAACAGGCAGACATAAATAATTGTGATTTAGAAATTAAAAAACAGTATCTTTTCTTTCAATTTATACACATTACATTATTTCAAATGGCTACTGAGTGGTTAGGACATAAACCTATTCCAACTTAATAACAAATGTTTACATTGTCTGGACCTACTACTTAAAAAAAAAATGGAACTATTGGGTATTTTTTGGGGGGGGCCTAAAAGGCACCATAAACAAGAGAGTTTGGGAACTACTAGTCTAAATAATCCAGAGGTTTAAGAATTTAAGGCTTAACATTTTGAATAAGTTGTAGAAAACAACCAAAAAAAAAAAAACAAAGAATACATGCCAGAGACCATTCCAAAGGAAATACCCTACAAAGTCTAAGATATTTACTATCTGGCTCTTGTCCACGTCTGCATTTACGCTGCCAATATTGAGTTAATATATCCAGAGTGTCCAATGATGCAGGCTCTAGACCTGTGCTGTCCAATATATAGTAGCTATTTATGTTTTAATTAAAACGATACAAAAGTTAAAAATCAATTTTTAAGTCACAACTGTTACATTCTAGGTGCCCAATAGTCACATATGATTAATGGGTACAGTGCTGGATAGTACAGATATAAAACATAATTATCGCTGAAAGTTCAACTGGACAGCACCCTCCTACTCTGAATATCTAGACAATCTAGTCTTAGCATCAAACACATCAACACTCACTCCAAACTCAGCTGACATCTATTAGCCATCTTGTAAACATTTCCAGTGAGTCACAGAGTAAAGAATTATACTACTTTGAACCCAACCTTCAGTTTGCAAAATCTTACAGGGCACTAAGTCCTCATCTCCGTAAATCATTATTCCCTCCACCATCCATCTCAAATGCCACTTTCTCCACGAAACCTCTAGAGTCTGCATTGCCAAAAGCATCCACTACGCTCTCCCTACTTTGTGCGCCCACGCCACTTTAGAATGTCCTTTATTCTTTATGTTGTCTTGTATTATAGTCATTTGTATACATTAATTTCCCTCTCTGGACTGCAAACTTGCTTAGATTAGGGACCCTGAACCGTCCGCTTCCAGCCGTACCACAAGACAACAAGAAAACTAACAAATATCTGAGTTAGTCGATCGATGCAATTCAATTTTAATAGAGTATTACAGAATAGCTCTACAAAGTTATCTTTAAAATTCCAATCGGCCGTACTGCCCCTCTTCCAACGTTTTATCTTCTTGAGATAAAGAGCAAGAAATGGGGCTTTAACTCTGGGCTAACAAGGGACAGAGGAAGAGATTTAAAAACCTCATCTGTGGCTTGCCAATACTGGCTCTATTTGCTGATACTACATCTGCAGGAAGCCCAGAGTCTGTTCGTTGCTGTTCGTCGGTGCTCGAGTATACACTGCAAAACATTTTAAAAAACGTTGACAAGATGTGGGACCTTAGTACTATAGAGAAACCCGAGACCGAAGACTCCGGTCTATTCCCAGAGAATAGGAAGGTGTTAAATCCTCTCTTGGATTTAAGCAGAGAGAGAGAAACAGGGAGCAGAAGAGATTAGAAAAAGCTTCCCTCTTGAAAGGTCGTCAGCTCCCTCAGACACTATAAATAAACCACAAGCCAAGAGCTGAAAATCACTCGCTACTGTCACTTCACTTGCAGCAAGAAAAGCTGCTCGCCAACAGCGAGAGGTCCCCGGGGAGCCCCAGCGCCCCGACAGAAGATGGCGGGGCGGGCTGAGCCGACGCGGACGGAGCCTCCCACCCGCCAGCCGCGACGGCCCGCGGGTCCCGGCGCGGGAGAAGCGCTGGGGAGGGGGGAGGCGGCACAAACCGCCGGCCGAGAGCAGGAGAGAAAGCGCCCGGCGCCGGGGAGCAGAGCCGGGTCAGCGCCCGCGCCTCGGGAGGCCGCCCGCTGAGGGGCTTCCTCCGGCTCCCGCCGCCGGGCCTTCCGAGCGCTGACGAAACCTAAAGCCCCCCGGAGGGTCTCAGAACGAAAGGGCCGTTCCCTTTACCCACCGCGGTCCACCTACGAGAAAAATTCTCCTCAGACTT